TTAATGTGATTTATGCAAAAACATACATACAAAATAATCAATATTTATTCAATGTAACATATACATTCTATATGATAAATGGTAAATGGACTGTATATAGTGTCTCTCTAATCGACCAACCACTCAAAGCACTTTACACTACATGTCACATTCATCTATTGACATACATTCATACAGTGATGGCAAAGAACAGAAACTAACTAATTCAATAGTAGGCACATCTGTCTGCATCATATGTTTACAGGACTCTTAATGATAAAACCTTTACTACAACCTACATTTTAATAATTTCTGTGTACTTGCAGAGGAATTTCAGCAGGTCTGTCACGATGCCCCGACTCATTGTCGCTCTGATGATAGCTGCTTTGTCAACAGAGATCTACAACACCAGCATGATATCCAGCTACCACAGTAAAGGTATAGCCAAAGTTCTGGAGGCTTGTAAAATAACAGACAGCTGCAGACAGTCATCGGTGTCTACACTAAATGTATTAAAAGACAATATAATTTGAATGTGGGGATAACAGTGCACATTTTCAGTCAGTCCTTCCTTCTGTGTACACATGAAAAGAGAAAGAAATACAGGAAAATAATAACAAAAGAGGGACACCCTGGCTACTTTCTCACCTGCATACGGCTGACCAATCATGACGTTAACTTGGTGTGAATGCCACATGTGAAAGTTACAGAAATGGGTTCATAAGTTCATACAACCTGTCTTTTTTAGCCTTTCTCCAGTGGCTCTGTGTGGCTTTGACAAAAAACTAAACTAAAATCTTAAAACTTTTTTTAAATTTTTAACATTTTTATTTATAATTGCTGTAGGCCAAAAGTGATAATTAAATGATCCAATTATATACAAATGTTTTAACATTTCACCAGCATTACTTTACATCCTGACCTGGTGCCTTTTACTGTCTGTACCGTGTGTTTTTACACCTCATGTTTTTATTTTCTATGCTGCCACTTTATTTAATTTATTATGATTATTTTCCTCTATATTTCTGAGAAACCTCAATAGCAGTGACTACTAATCTTGAGTCTCCATAGCAATGCTAGCTATAGACTCCAAATCCAATAAAAGAAAACTCTAGGAGGAGAAAAGAGAAACATAATGTGTTGACAGATTTGTTTGCTTTCCCAATTCACCTTATAAGGCTCAAATGCATTTTGCTTCTCTAGACAGTCAGGTTGCTGGTCCCTTGTCTAGCAACTGTGTATACCGGTACATCATCATGATAAGTTTAACACATTGCCTTCATCTTTAACTTTTAATCATTAATTCTGGTTTATAAGAAACCCACTGCATCTAATCAGAAACAGTGAGTGCATAATTTTTCATATTTTACAACAACATTCCACTTTCAAAGAATTAGCCTTTGTACATATTTAGTCTCATTTATTTTTGTTTGAGGATTTATAGATGGTATAATAAAACTTTCTTCTTTTTAAATTAATGTAAACGAACGGAGAGTTTTTAACTGGTTATGAAACAGTCTGAATTTAATACTCTATATGACCAACAGCAAGAGGATGATATTTCAAAATAGTTATTCTTAATACCTGCTATCCGGTCATAATTGGTAGAATTCTCCATGAAATTAATTAAACGAGGCGGCAGACACACTACTGTTTTTGTCCATAGGGAGTCAACAGAAAGTAGGAGTTCTGCATTAAATATTTTTGTTGAAGGTGTTGCTCTACACAGTTCCCAAGTTTTTAGATGAAAAATTGCAATTGTTGTGTAAGTTATCATTTTAATGGGATCAAGTTGCAAAACGCATGAACATCTAGAACATGGTCAGGTAGTTTTTATTTGTTTAATTAGGATAAGAATTAGCAATTCAGTATTGTACATCTGTTTAAGTCCTGATAGGGTTTGTCTAGATCCTACACTTCCCATAATGCAACTTGATGCACTGTTTTCATGAGACTCCTTATGCCTGGTACATAGTAATAATATATATATAATATATAATTTCCCTTCAGGGATAAATAAAGTATTTCTATCTATCTATATATATCTTTCAAAATCCACACCTACAGATTGTAACACAGAATTTCTGTTCTATAATAGTCTCCAGTAGACATCACTATAACATGGTGGACATCAGGGTTATTTTGTCTTTTTGACTTGGAAAAAAGAGAAGAGAATTACTGGAAAGAGAGGTGACAAATTAAGTAGAACATTAAGTTTTCTACATTTTTATAACAAATTTTAAATATTTATTTATTATTTATTCATCTAATTTATAAATAAATTGACTAAGTCAAAAATGTGGAAGTCTGATATTTGTCTTGGTTTTTTTTTCAGATCAGGTAATACTCAAAGCCCTGAGAGATTTAAGCCATGCATCAATACTGGCATCAGCAAAGAATTCCGGGAATTTACCTGCTGATAAGGTCCATTCAGCTGATGGAAAGTTTCCCAGGTCAGAATGGTTGATCTCAAAGCTGGTCCTCCCTCAGACTATCAAGAAACGTCAAGATGTGTCCTCATACAACCTCAACTCCTTTGGTCTACGTTACGGAAAGTGACACAAGACCTGATGTCTGTTGTTATTCTGTGTTAGAGCTGATATTTTTATATATTTTCTTTGTACATTCAGAGTGGGAAAAGAAAAGTGTAATGTCACTGTTGAAAGCTCAATAAAAATGTTGGTTAAAGATTATTAAAGGATCTGTTTCTTTTGTGTGAATCTATTCAGAAGAAAGGGGGAACTAATCTGTAGATTCATGCGCAGCCAGGATTTTACAAAGTTCAGAAAGAGTGTGAAATGGGGTTCAGTAAAAGAAGAAGAAGAAGAAGATGATATACTTTATTGATCCCCTAGGGGAAACTGTTCTTTTCACTCTTTTTTATACACACACACACACAGGCTGAAATGCACACTTCATGCACTTGTGGATATGCAAAGGGGAGAGAGATGGTGGAGTAATAGGGCTGCAACGTTAACAGCGCCCCATGAGCAGGTTTTTGGGGTTAGGTTGCGTTGCTCAAGGGCACAGGAGGTGAAACTGGCACCTCCCCAGCTACCAGTCCACACTCCATATTTTGTGGTCTGTGGGACTTGAACGGGCGACCCTCCAGTTCGCAAGCCACGTCCCTACAAACTGAGCTACTGCCGCCCCAAAAGCTGAAGTAAATGCAATAGAATAAAATAGAATTAGAAAAGAAAAAGTTTTCCTGATGGATTTTTCCTACTTAACCATGACCCTATCAAACACAAACAAACCTCTGGTGATATGCAACAAAGCAAAGATTTTGTGTTGTTCAAACAAAAGAACAACTTCCCATGTCTGCACTTGTAACATTGCAAACGCCAATTGCCAACTTTTGCCCCTCCTTCGATGAGTGCCAGATGTAGGCCGTTGTCCGACGTAACTGTAGCTTACTTATTGGGTGGGGTGGAGAACTCGGGTTAGGGTGATGGACTTTGCTTTGAACTTGGGGACTTTGATCCTGACACTGACAGGGGCATGGAAGACATTAACCTTCTGTTGTGCCTACTTTGTGTATCTTTTCACTGATATTGGCAGCTCCGCCCCATAAGCACCCAATGAACAGAAACTGACAACACCTCAGCCTTGCTTTAATTCAATTCAATACAGTTCAATTCAGTTTTATTTGTATAGCGCCAGTTCTTAACAAAAGTCATCTTAGGACACTTTTCAAATAGAGCAAGTCTAGACTGTACTCCTTATAAAATTATTTTACCACCTACTTGTTGCTTGTTAATGTCCTACCACCTGAAAGTCATGGAAATATAAGATATTTAAATAATTTGTTTGTGTGAGTATGTCTCCTAATAACACTATTTTATTGATTTCTATTCTCTGGATCACTGAGATCATCATGGATCAGCAGGTAAAAGTGCATCAGTGCTAGCTGTAGGCCTGCTGCTTCCAAAAAAAAATAAGTAGTAAAAATATTTCATAGGAAAAGGGTCATCAGTTTACTCTGATAGTAAAAAGGTTGTGTAAAAAGGGAAAAAGGTTGCGAACTACTGGTATAATCAATAATGACGAGCCATGTCTTGATTAACCATTTCTTTAGGTACACTCAGCCAGAAAAAACTGAATAATTGTCAAACGGATTGACTGATAGCACATCAACATATCGATATGTTAAATGGTAAATGGTAAATGGACCTGTACTTGTATAGCTCCTTTCTAGTCTTCCGACCACTTTCTAGTCTTCCGACCACTAGTCATGTGCGAATAGGGCTTTACTTGGGTTTGGAAGTACCCGGTGAACAGGACATTTTAGTAATGCCACCATGCCAGAGGCTTCAGAGCGGACGGTGAGTATGCCGATATGCAAATTCTATGCAAACCACCCTCTACTTGCCCCTCCCCTCAAACCCCTCCTCTCAACGCCAAAACAGTGACAGAAAGTTGAAACTGAAAATCAGTGACACTGAAAAAAGAGTGACATGAAGAAAAAATCTGAAGATTGTCATTGAAAAATACAAAAAAATCCCAATAAAATAAAATAATAAGATTTTAATTATTTTAATTAGTTTCTTTTTCAATGCCAAAACAACTGTTTTCAATACAAATGTTCCAATGTCAATGTTTAATTTTTCAGTACTGGTTTTGTTTTCAATGCCAATTTTTTTTTTGGATGCCAAATTTTAAAGTCACCGTCCTGGCTCCATAGATCCCCGGCTTCTCCCGCTGCATGTTGAAGTAGAATGTGAATGAATGAGTTAGTTCGATCTGCTTTGCCATCACTGTGTGAATGGGTGTGAAAGGGCGAATGTGGCATGTAGTGTAAAAGCCCTTTGAGTGGTCGGAAGACTAGAAAGGTGCTATACAGTATATAAGTACAGTCCATTTACCAACATCATTTCATTTCATTTTTTTTTGTTGAGCCAAAACATTTTTTTTTATGTATCATTTAATGACCATTTTAAGTAACAAAGACTAGATTTTTCTGTTTTATTTTTTGTTCTTTATCATTCATTTATGTCAAACATTTAAGCTCATACTCAAAATAGGTCTTGAAGTACATTTATTAAACTTTTATTTAGAATGATATAGGAGCAATAGTACACATTGCTGCATAGGTTTTACTGGTTATCATGAAATCATCTGCTCAATTTAATGTAACGAGTGTAATGATGGCTCCATGAATACAACCCGTGGAGAATTACACAGTATATGAAACTGCTAGACAAACTAGGGAAATATATTGTTTCCTAATTCAGCAAAACAACAAGAACACATTAAGAGGTTTAAATAAATCAGTAAATGATTGTAAAATGAAATGTGAAACAGATCCTGTACAACTGCAAGATTTTTTTAAATTCTGTAAAAATGTTGGGTTTTTTTGCATTTTTTTATAGGACAGCTGAAGAGTGAAAGGAAAGGGGGGGGAGAGAGAGAGAGAGAGAGAGAGAGAGAGGCGATGATATGCTGCAAAGGGCCACAGGTCAGACTCAAACCCATGGCTGCTGCAGCAAGGACTCAGCTTTGGTACATGGGGTGGCAGCTCTGCCAGGTGAGCTCCAGGTAGGAGTATCTTTTAAGCAGTACTACTATTCATTATCATTAATTGTAACCCAATTCATACATAGTACAGTACATCAGCAAAATACATCAACAAAATAAATGACAACAGTTGAGATACTAATCAGTTCTCCCTTCTGCCTACCCACTATTTAATTAACACTGTTACTTAAAGGGCATCGAGCTTTCCATCACTGCAACAAGATGTTCTTCTGCTTAGACCATGGAAGAGCTGCTGGAGAAAAACTAAGAAAAACAAAGGATTTCATTAAAAGCAAAAATCAGTCAAATCCCTGCAGTGAGATAAGAAACATACATCATATGACATATCAAATGAAAGATTTTTTTAAAATCTACTGCACTAAGAACAAAACATACTGCACTGAGGAAAGGGCTATTCACAGCTGACAGCACAAATCCCAAGGCCATGGGGAAGAAGGACCTACAGAGGGAAACAAAACAGTGTAATTGGAATACCTTTATTTTTGAACTATTAAATTAAAAAAAGTTAAATTATATTATTTATTTATTCATCTAGTTGTTCATTATTTATTATCATTTATTCATCTAGTTATTTTTTTTTGAAGCCTTATCTTTCTGTCTCAGAAACACCCTTACAGGAGTTACCTGAATAAAAGCACAAAGCCGTAACTCTCCACCAGAATTCCAATGATTGGCCATCGGCACAGCACCAGAGACACACCTCCCAGGAAGAAGAAAGAACCTCGAAACTTTTGCCTTTGGAAAAAGAAGTGAGCTGTCCTTCTGAAGCCAATAATGAATGTCACACCACTCAGAAACAAGATCTACAAGGGGGGTAATCAAATCAAGGAATATTAAAACACATTCTCACATTATCTTTTTTTTTTTTTTTTTTTGTCTGGTTTCTCCAAAGCTAAATCTTCTTACTCAATCAAAAGGACAATAAGAATCTGTGCAGACGTTCCTGTCTCTGGCAAATATGTTGTTTACATGTGTTTGAATTATTCTGTCGCTGAATTCACCTTTAAAGAATTTATTGGTGCTTTGTCTTCTGACTATGTACTAACTATATGGCTTAGAAAACTGGCAGAGGCAACTGTATACTGTATTGTATTATCAACCTTGAATATTGTACTCACATGCCCATGTGTAAATTGAAAGAGATATTGGGTGCCCTAATCATTTGTCCCATACTTTCGGTAAAGAGACCCTCTCCTAATGGTTTTCCAATATGAGATAAAAGTTAAGTTTCAGTTTCACCTCTTAGTCCATAGCACTCAGCCTATCTCTTAATCACCCATGTGGTTTTTCTCTCTCACTCTCATTCTATTTCTCTCTGTCATTTCTTCTTTTCTCTCTCTCAGGGCTCTATGGCTCAGGAAGTAGAGCGCGTCATCCACTAATTAGATGATTGACTCGTCCTTGAGCAAGATACTGAACTCCCTCACTTCAACCTCCTCAAGTGTGAAGGAGAAACTACATTGGCCTTAAAATGCTTGAAAAGCGCAAGCCAAATGCAAATTAAAAGTTTTTCCCTGCACACAGCCTGCACAGTAATATATGAATAATAATAAATATGAAGTACACAACATAAATCATGTTTAGTCTAACATTTAATGGAAGACTAGAAAGGCGCTATACAAGTACAGGTCCATTTACCATTTACCATTCAAGTTCAAGCTTTGAGGAACTAAAACAGTCAGACAGTAAAACTTAACTAGTTACTAATACTACATTTTCATTAAATTTCAAAGAGAAATAAAGTATTGTACTTTTTCCAATATACATTTATTTGACAGCAGTGGTGCACATGCACAAAAAGATAATTTGATTATTTTGACAGATATTGAGATATGATTCACAATTGGTGGGAAGTATCCTTTTTGCTTCACAAATTTCACCGAAATATGAATTCACTGAAAAAAACAAATAAATAAATGTTTGGGGCTCTGTTCCAGACAAAACATATTTTCTTAAATCTGAAGAGCCAGATTTGTAGGCCAGGGTATCTCTGTAGCACTAAAATTCTCTCATTATAATGCTTTTTGTCACACATTTTACCGTCATAGAAAATTACAGATTCTGATCGATCAATCGATTTCAATAATATTTCGATTGATTTGTAGCCCTACTTGACAGCTGGAGATACTAGTTACTCTGAAGATTAAAGTTGCACTAATCAATTCTTTATGAAAAATGTATTACATGACTGTATTTGTCATTAATTACCACTAAACTTTTCCCAAAGGTATTTCTTTTTATATGAATGGGTGGATTTGTCTTTCGATGTTAATATGAGCCAATGATGGTTGACACTGAGCAGATGTGTGTAGCATGAAAGATTACTCACATTCCCAAAGGCCAGCAAAACAGAGTCAAAGTACAACAGCACACCAAAGAGCAGGAAAAATGAACCAAATCCAATTAGACCAATACCAATCTCTGGAAAACAAACATACACATGGGGGGTAAGAACATAAAAGCAAGACTTTGGTCAATACAAAAATGTAAAATAAGTTGCTTGAGATTTACAATGATTTGTATTTTCATGCAAAATGTTAGCCATATTATAACTTGACTTTGTGTTTTTAATTATTTTTTTTTGGTTTAAGATAGTCATCAGGTCTTGGTTGGTTGTAGTGTTTCATCAAACTGCAAACAACAAGGCACAAATCAAAACTGAAATGTACACCCTTCACACTGAATGACTTAGTTCAAAATCAAATGTTATATTTAAAAAAATAATCTAACTTAAAACTCATGATGGTTTTTTTTTCATATATCATTCCCAGCTCGTTATCAAACTTTTTTCTACTTTACTTCCATTTGTAAATAAACATATAAAGCAAAAAAAAATCTTAAAAATAAATAATTGGTTTTTTTTGCCTTACACACAGTTAGTCAACATGTCAGTCCCAAACACGCAGTGGAAAGTAGATTAATAACTGTCATTTAAAGGATAAGTCTTACATAATTCCATATTAATCTTATTCAATGAAAAGACCAAAAGCAACAGTATTTCTCCATCTCCATCCATCTGACAGCTGGATGGTGTGTGTGGGATTGAGATGGATAGACACAGTGTGTGGGGATTTATGACATCATGGTTTCAGCATGAATACAATCAAATGACACATTTGTCTGATTGCTCCCCCCATACACTAAGGCACTCTCTTTTAAAGACAGTCTGACTGCCTGACGAAGACTTGATACCAAAACTCAACTGAATTTGACCATGTAGTGACAATAAAGGAGTTTTTCTTGTGATTTTTGTGTCTATATATACCTTTATCCAAAGAACCCCTCAAACAAATTCAGTCCAGGAAGCGCTCCTACCCACACATTTTCTTTTTTTTTTTTTTTACACAAATACATATGTTATGAAAAAGCTGGTTTGACATTTAAATATGATTAAACATATTAACACTCAAGTTACTGCAGTCAGGGTATAAGTCACTTGAGCTTCTTCATACAAACCTCCTCAGTCACCCTTTTTACTACAAATCTGTTGACTCATTAGAGGGGCATTTACTTTATATTAATATTAACACTTAAGAAGAGAGCAACTGTAGTAAGACTTACTTTGGAACTCTGTGATTGCCACCATGGTAATCCCTTATGTGTTCCCTCCTCTCGTACTGTCTGGCTGTGTTTCTCTGTGACGGTCATGAACAAATGAGTCCTTTCCTTTTCACAAACGTGACCTTTGTGCGTTGACGTTGTCAGGTGAACATTAACCAGAGCAGGTTCTCAGTGAGCCACTGTACTGGGGATTCTCAGGTAAAGGGTTTACTTCCTAAGTAATGTCATCAGCCATTCAAAGATATTTAATGCATTTATCCTTTATCTTCTGTTTGGACTCCTAGGTTTACATACAGATGGAGCTGCCTAGAATTGCCGGCACGTCCATGACAGGCCCTTGTTTATCTGAATTGAGTGAATGGATATGTCTGGCTGGCAGCCCAATGTGATGATAATTCTGAGTGGCTGGTATGTATTTGCTTTGTTTTTTTTTATTATATATTTTTCTCTTTCTTTTTTGTCTTTCTTTCTCTCCAAAAGGGAGGAAGGAAAAGTATATATGTAGATAGGATGTAGGTATATGTACAATATGGTTATGTATTTGGCTGTATGTATGTATATTGTATATACACACAACACACATCGTGCATACACATTTTTCTTTCTCTACATTGCCACCAGCTCAAACTCATGTTGTATTCCTCTGTTTGTTTCTGGCCCCTGTTTTTGTCGTTTCTCAATTGTCTTACTTTTTACAGTCTCTTTTGACTGTTCATGTTCACTTTATTGCACAATAATACCCAAGTATACCATAAAGATATGCTTCATCTTTTTTTTTTAACCTTTATTTATTTAGGGAAAATTCACTCCCAGGGTATTTCAGTGGAGGTAATGAAGGAGGGAGCTGCACCTTCACTTTCCCTCGTCGCACACCAATTCCAGGAAAGGAATGTAACAACTGTCAATCACAAAAAAATTTAATTTAATTTAATTAAGAAATGTAAACTCATAACAAGGATTTTTATACAACCTGGATCTTATTTTGGTGTTTTGGTCATCATGACTTCCAATTTGGATTTTATTTTATTTTACTTTGCTTTGTCAGACCACCATGCACAAGTTCATAATGGCTTCAGCGTTGACACACTTTCAACTGGTTTTTAACACAACTGATATTATTTCTCCATTCATTCAAACATGAATATGGCAGATATGGAGGCTGGCTAGACGGTTTCTCAATCTCATCAATTCATCAGACACACTTATTTTTAATGCATGTGCTTGTTAGTTTTTATTTTCATTAATTTATATTGACAGTAGCTACATCGTTACATACATTGCCATTAATTCGGATCTGGTATACAGGATTTTTGAGGATTTGAGGATATGTTCCATAAATCACAACATGAAGATGACGTGTAAGCATCAATGACTTCCCACATTCTTGAATGTATTTTCATTATGAGTTTCATTATGAGTTTCATTATGTGCCAGATAAATTAATCTGAACTTCTCAGTCTCTGATCAGTCTCCTGATTGAATTAGGTAGCCAGCTTTGTCTATCAGGAAAGTTCTTACTTAAAATGTCTACAATTTGGGCGGCTGTGGCTCAGATGGTAGAGTGGATCTAGTGATTGCAAGGTTGCTTGTCCTTAACCACTGAACCCCAAATTGCTCCCGATGGCTGTGCCATCTGTGTGTGAAGCAGTGATGCAATTGTTTAGTTCAGAGCACACCTCCCTGCCCTTCCATGTGCATACAAAAGTTTAAGACAAGGAGAGACATGTATTAATTAGATACAATTATGGGTTGCAAAACGGCTTGCAGAGAAAGCAGCAAAGATAGGCTGGCTAAAGCAGCTTTAATAAGGCGCCCTGAATGATATTTGCCAATTGGATGTTGAGGGAATCAGCTCAGCAGTCAGCTGACTGTGTATAGTTTTCCAATAGGAAGCTTAGGAGGAATCAGCTGAGCCATCAGCTGATGTGTGTTTACGACTAGCTGTGATCAGCGGATGTAGCTGGAATTTAGAGCTCAGCTTGACTTCGTGGCCTGCCTGAACTAACACTGTGCTTAATATCTCAAACTTTGAGAAGGCATGTGTCTTGTCCTCATGTGACACTGACATCACTAAAAATAAGTATAATGGGTGAGGAAACAAGAACAGATAACCATAGGTTACAGGCCAACATTTTCTCAACTTAAAGATCCCCTCCATACATGCATTACGATGTATATACAAATAGTCTGTTTGGAAAATACATGTGTTTTTGAAATGTAACAACAAAAAGGGAGGATTTCCATGTAAAAATCCTTAAAAAGGCATCTACTTTCACCTTCCAGAATGAATATGCAAATGTGGTTCATTTCAAAAATATTCCTGCTGGACACAAGATGTCTCTTACTTCATCCAGTCAGTCTATGAAGAAGAGGAGGTTTACAAATGTGGCTACACGAGCAGATCCAACGTCACCATTCCTGGCTTCCAGACGGTTCGAGCCGTCAGGGACACCACCACGACCGGCATGAAGAAAGGAGGGGGACTTGCCATCCTCATAAACAACAGGTGGTGTAACGCCGGGCACGTCTGTGTGAAAGAGCGTCTGCAGCCCGGACATTGAGCTCGTCGCCGTCGGACTTCGTCCATGTTATCTGCCACGGGAACTTTCCAGTGTTATTGCCATCACTGTCTATATTCCTCACAGTGGTCTTCATCACCATCACTGTTTACATTTATGATGTCTTAGTTATTCTCCTGTACAGCACTTTGGTCAACTTTGGTTGTTTTTAAAGTGCTTAACAAATAAAGTTGGATTGGATTGGATATGTGGAAACATCCTTCTAGGGTCAAACTCTGCACATACACAATTCTGTTTAGAGAAGCTCTCTCTATATATGTCTCAATGCAATTCATGATGACGTTTTATAAATCTCAATTTTATTGAGATTACAGTGTGCAAACTATACCATGGCTTTCAGGGGAGCTTACTTTTTGTTATTATGGGAACACACAGACTGACTGAGACTAAGATAGTTTTTTTTCTCACAAATCATGTTTTTGGGTGAGCTCATTATTATTAAGAGATACCAAGCTTCCCATTCAATTAAATTAGTTTTGTTGTCTAAGATTTGATGTGGAAGAGTCCAGTCTGTCTTTGTTTTTGTACTTTTTTATTCAGACATACAGTTTGATATAACAAAGCCTGTAGAATATCATCAGCGAGCCTATTAGTAATGACCGGACTGGGCAGTTAATCTCAGGAGTCCGTTTGGCAGTGAACTTCATCATCAACGAGTGGATTAAAATAACAGCAGTATCATCATTCCAGGCAGCCAGACATATTTTATCATACAAAATACTGTGATGAATTCAGAAGCATCTAGAGAAACACATATTTGTATACATTCACTTTATTGCAAGATTTTCTGAAAGCAAGCGTATTATTTGTCTCTTTTTTAACATTTGCATAGTTCAAGCAATTTGTCTATTTTTTTCTCAAAGTAGCAATGGTTACATGTACTATAGGATATACTGTAACTGAAGTCCAAAATATTAAATACATTGACCAATGTATATAATGTATATATTCTTTATTTTTATCATCCACAAATGCTACATCTAGTATCAAATATTGGACACCACCTTTTGGCTGTCATGTCAATAGATTCCAATTAATCTAAAAATATCTATGTTCCGCTCCTTCAAACAATCCTCAAGAGCAATAAAATAAAAACAAAGTCTTTCTTGTGAAAAATGCTAAACGCAATTGAGTGTAAAAATTTAACCTGTCATCAAGTATCAATGCATCTAAAAAAATATGTACTCCCTCTTTTGAACTTATTCCCTTTCTTAATATAACTTAAAACAAGAAAAAATAGAAGTATTCTCTTAAATCCTTGTTTTGTTTTTGCGTAGTGAGATCCATTAACTGCTTTCCACATAAAATTCAATTTTCTGTAAAATATTCTCTGAATCTGAGTATGGTGTTACTACAAAGACAGGTCACTTGAACATCAAAGTGTGTAAGCATACATAACACATACATAACAAAGGGGAGGTGTGTATGGTCACAGCATTCAAATCTGGAGGAAGTTGTAATGAAGAGGCATGGCCTAAACTAGAGAGATCCCTAAAGATTGTGTTTTTAATCCTGTGACAACAAGAAGTTTGGACACATCCTAAGATTCTAGTGACTTTTTTTTTAATAATACGGACCATGATGATAAGTATGTGTAACATTTGAAGCTAGAATTGTTTAGTGTATCATTATAGATAGTATAGACAATACTAAAGTATAATCAGGGCTCCAAAATACCAGCAGATGTAGTCAAAAACTCCACATCTACCTGCATACCCTTTCTATTTAATTAATGCCTTAAAGTAGAATGTTTTAAAATGAAATGTACTGTAATTAACTAATGTATTATTTACTTTATTCATATATTACATTTATTTCAAAACATATTATTGAATTATTTAACCTCTTTTAATTTATATATATTTCACTTTGGAGTTCCACTTTACACAGCACATTTTGATAATGTCTAACCTTAGCAATCCCCATTGGTGCCATCAGTCATTGCATTTCCTCCAGATTTAAACAAATTTTTTTTTTTTTAGGTCATGTCACTTATGTCCATTCATCACAGCATATAAAACACACAGACATGTTTCAGACTTATGGCACTGCATGATTAGATGAAATGTTGTTGGGATATGTTACATGACAGTAATTTCCCGTATATAATTCCTCTCATATAACTGCATCATTAGCTAACTCCTCTTTACACAGACAAGTGTTTTTCTAGCAGTGTTACACTTCTAAGGTCACTTCTATTTTACTTTCAACATACAGTGTAACATTTCTAAACGCATATCCAACATACCTACTGTACATACATGTAGACAATCACTGTAAGAATTTCAGGAAAATGCAGGAGCTGCACACAGTGGTTGGTGGTGAGGTGACTGTGTTGCTGTTTGATGCAACTCTGTCTCATATGAATTACATTCATATGCATCTGTTCTGGATAAGAGATTTACACTGAGTGCAAACATTCTGTGCCAAAACAGTTCAGAAGTGTAAGGTTCATATAGAGCAGTGCACAGTGATGGTGTGGAGGCCGAGGTGTAGGATGGCTATATCCAATTCGGTTCAATTTATTAATTTAATTTATTTGTATAGCGGCAAATCATTACAGAAGTTATCTCAGGACACTTTTCAAATAGAGTAGTTCTAGACCATACTCCTCATAAAAATATTTGCAGAGACCAAACAGTTCCAATATCCCATAAGTGTATGTCTTCAACAAGAGTCCCAGGTATTCGTCAAATTTCCTACAAGTACTCTGTGCTAACTTGTCTAACCACCAGATGACCACCATAAAGATTAGAGAAATCCTTTGCTGATATCCTAACTGCAGTTTGCCATGACCGTATGTTGAAGGAATACTGAATTGAAAAATAGTATTCCACTACAAAAAAGCTTCTGGTCTATTCAACCTTAAGCTATTTCTGTCTCTCCTTTTAAGCTTCATTATTGCCTCAGACAGATGCTTCTTAACATCTGGGGCAAAAGATTGTGTCCTGGCCTGCTGTGTTTTTTATTTCCTTCTTACACAGTCTAGTATGTGCATCCATTTTTATTATATCAGGGACTTTACGCTCCTACAAGTAAGTGAGTAAAACCATCACAGAAAATATGAGAGGGGGTCCTCTTGGTATCCTCCTACCAACACAGGTTAGTAAATTAATATTGTGTTTTTGAGGTAGGACAAGATGTGGTCTTATGCAGGTTTTTAAGATGGGTCATGATTTCATCTTTTCATCTTCAGCTCTGTGTCACAACAAGCTCTGTGCTCTTGCGTGTTAGGTGTCAGAAATAGGTGATGTACTGAAGCAAAACATAATCCAGGTGACATTACTTTTATACCAATGATGATGGAAAACAGGCATCACAGTGAGTTCAGAAGAGTACTCCGCTTTTTACAAAGTATGGCGGCTTCAGTCTTGACAGTTGTCTCAGTGTGGGCAAATACAGTCAGACTGTCACTAAGCCCCATTCCTCACTGGGCCACAAGCCATTGGTGTTTTTTCAGGGTTGATATGGAGATCTAAGAACATCTTCATTTGGCTTTTTATTGTCCAGAAGCATGTTCAAAGGCTTTCTGTAGGTTTTAGCGAGAGTCTTGTCAACTCGTTAACCTCAGTGACGTTCATGTGGCAAAACCCAAACTCCTTCTCTGGATTCATCTCTGCTGCTGTTTTTTTCTTGTTCATCTTCAGCATTGGCCTCTCATATGCAGTGTTACTGTGTGAATTCACATCGAACCTCAATCTCACCATCAACATAGTTAATCAGTAATCTCTATCTCTTAGTAGATACGTCCTGAGCTAAATTATATAGATATATTACACAATTTGAAGCTGGTAAAAGTTGGATGAACTGGAGTTTGGGAGGGTAACCTTACAAGTCTTTATAGCTTCTATTCAGGTTTTAAATTTGCCCTTTCCTCTTAGGACCTCCTTCGCTTTTGTCATGTTGTTGTTAACTGCTAAATTAAATAAAAGTAATTTTTCTGGGGCCATTTTCATTGTTCATTTCACTGATACCTCAGAAAGATGCTCCATCAAATTTGACAGCAGCCAGGGCTTGAGCTACAAACAAAAGAAGAAGCAAAGAAAGACAAAGGGTAAGAGTGATACAAAAGTCATTTCAGATTACCTGGGAACTGAGTACTGTTCACTATCAGGGGAAATAAATGGAAATCTATCTTTGTAAGCAATTTAAGAAATATTTATATGTAATCACTGCTACAGCACAATGTGACTTTTTATACAGGAATTAACTAAGTGAACTAAGCTACAGTGGATGGTATCTACTTGATAGTGACAAACAAAATCAACAAAAGGTCCAACTTGCTTGTTGTCCGAAGCTTTCAACTACATATCTTGCCATGTGAAATGTTTTCAGAAAGTTTGACCTTTTGAATTCTGAGAATGGACCTTCAAGCTGAGTAAAACCTCTCCAAAACAAGACACACTTTTCCCACATCATGTCCAGGTAGTTCATTTCAAACCAAAGACAAAAGCAAATAAATTTGGCTGGATCAAACATTTGTCATCAGCATCTTAAACTTATAGACATGAACATTTTTATTTTTATTTTATTTTTATTCAAAACCTATATTGGTCCAATATAATGTACCACATAATAAACCTGAGTAAATGTAAAGCAGTCCCAAAGAGAGAAGCAAGCAGAGTGTCAAAACAGGATAGGGGAAGAAGGAGATGTGGTGTGGTGAACGGAGACTCACCTTGTGTGACTCAGACCTTCATGATGTGGGCAGAGTTGGGAAAGCCAGCAGAGGAAGGGGGAGGTGCCAGGCTGGTTGGGGAGGTGGAGGGACTGGGGGCACACTGGGCTGGAATGAGATGGAGGGTGGTGGGAGGGGTATCAAAATGGGAAAAACAAGTAGTGAACCAATCAAAGGGAGAAGTATGGATAGGTAGCAGGTGAAGAGGAGGGGCGTGTGACTGAGCATACTGGGGACTTTGAGGGTAAAAAAAACTGTTAATTCAGGTTTCACTGGATCACTGTGTAACCTGTAAATACAGCTCTGCAAGTCTTCAGCGCTACTAAAATATAAGTTGACTTGACAAACTGAAAAAGTCACAAGTCAAATAAAGGAGCTTAAAGGTAATATGTACAGGACTAAGAACATTAATATAGCAGCAAAAGCGATTTGCTATGTCAATATACAGTATACCGATCAGCCATAACATTCAGAGCATCTCCAACACTCTTGTTGGGTGTTCCCGGTCTGAAGTGGTCAGTACCTATCAAAAGTGGTTCAAGGAAGGAAAAGACTCATTGACGCAAGTGGGGAGCAAAGGCTGTAGCTCAAACTGCTGAAAAAGTTAATGCTAGTTCTGATAGAAAGGTGTCTGAACACACAGTGCATCGCAGTTTGTTGCACATGGGGCTGCATAACATGTCTTACGGCTGATCGATGTATAGTGGAGTAATGGCATCCTGAGCAGATAATGACGCCACACTCCTTCCTTCTGTGTTATTTATTATTAATACAGTGACTTTACAATGGCTTTGAGGGCAGCAACTGAATTAGCTGTTTGTTTTCTCATGTACCTCGTTGACTTAATGATTTATTTTTAATGAAAAGACTAACAAAGACAACGTTTCATTTTGTTCTGACCAGTTTCAATGAAGATGTGTTTTTTCTATGATCTGCAAGGTAAAATATTTGTAATTTTTTTTCGTCAATGGAGTCTGGTGGCGTTCAATAGCGGTATAACTGGCTGTTTCTGGTTAAACAAAAGGTCTACCACTGTAGAGATTCTTTCTATAATGTTGTCAGACATTAGGATAACAATCTGTGCCTGTCAGTGGCAAAACCAAGCACTTGTGGACGTAGTTTGAAGGGGACATTTGTCCCCACGCTGCTGCCGCCGCAGCCCATTTTACATATATTTTCACATCTAACTTGCTAAATGAATTAATTGGTAATAGAAAGACTAACAAAGGTGGTTTTGGTGAGTTTGATTTTATTATGTCCAGCTTGAATAAGGTTATGATGTAACAAGGTTTTTCAAAGTAAAATTACTGGTTTTGTCAATGGTGGACCATAGTGCCCAACTGCTTTGGTCTGTTGGTGGTTTAGTTAGACATCTAGTGGGAGTGGATTTTGTATACCAGTATATAACCTTTAAGTATAAATTTTTGCTAACTGTCAAAAAAAAGATGAAAGGTAGTGGACTCAAACTGAACCTCTAAGGCTGTGAGTGAAATAAAGTCATATTGACCTAAACTAATAATGCACCATATATCAACTATTTCATTGTTTCTTGTAAAATATTATTTTATGTAGTATTGTATCAGTTCTTGTTTATCACATTTATAATATATGTTCAGTGTTTCAGCAGTGTTTCAAATGGTAAATGGACTGTACTTACATAGCGCCTTTCTAGTCTTTCAACCACTCAATACGCTGTACACTACATGCCACACTCACCCCATTCACACACATTCATACACTGATGCAAGGTGGCAACTGCTCACCAGAATGGAAACTAATCATTCATACACAGTCACACACCGATGCACAGCAATTTGGGGTTCAGCGAGAGGAGTCAGGGATCGATCTGCCAACCTTCTGATTCGTGGACAGAGCGGGTGCTCTACCTCTGAGCACAGCCGCCACAACTTAACATATAGCCAAGGCTGTAAAAATTATGGCATCATACTTCAAAATGTATATAATGAAGTACTCACAATCTTTAATTGCTCTGGTGTAGATATATTATCATATATATTTGTGAATTAAGCTGTTATTATTGTTGTTGGGAAGATAACCTTCCAAAATGTGTAATGAAGGGCCACTACATACACAAAGTGTACAAACATAAAGAAAAATATTTTTTATTTTACTTGACTCAGCCATTTTCGCATGAAATAGTGCATGTGCATGTTGGCTCACTATGTGAAAACGGTGTATTGCTGAGATCTAGGGACACAGCAAAGAACAAATTTTGAGGTCAAACTGAAAATGAGTACACCTGTACAGGATGTTTTGAAGGATTCCATGTTCATGCAGTGAAATAATTTGGAGACCATGGCCAACTTTAAAGTCGTAGTATTTAAGGTTCCAGTCCTGGTTAATTTGGTGATCACAATGTTTTGTTGAAGAAGTCAGTTGATAATTATTGCAACAACGGGCTGAAGCTGTCTGCTCACCTCACTCTTCATATTCTTGTACTAAAGAAGACTAAATAGATCCTGAATGCCCAGGTCTCAGCAAAGCCATGAGTAAAATGTTATCATAACCAACAAGAATAATGGCCAAGAAATTACCTTTAAAAGACTTTCAGTTTTATATTTTCTAAAAATAACAAAGCTCTATTCAAAATGGATGTTAATACGTTTTTGTCCGTATAGACATCCTTGCGGGTTAAATTTTAGTTTACACAACCTTGGCAAAAGTTGTATCTTAAACGACACACCAAGATCAGTGATTTCACATGAATTAGGTGAATCATGTATGTTTGTGTGATGAGGTAGTGTTGAGAGTAAGAACTGTGCTTGTCCTGTCTTGTGTGATCATAGAGCGCAGTTAGTGAGAGAAGGTTAGTGACGCTGTGATGGTGTCGGTGGCAGCTGCATTGAGAGAGTCCTCACCGGAGAGAAGGCGGCTGCGACGAGAAGCCTCAGCAGCCAGAGCACAGGAGATCTCAATACGCTTCTCCTGCTCCTGCAGCTGCTGCTGGGAACTGACTGGGGCTCCGCCCTCCACTGGGCCATCCAGGAGAGGAACCATGTTCTGCAAACTGACAGTGAGACAAAACGAATCAAATTAGACCAATAGGTATGGGTTCATAATATTTTTAAAACGTGTGAGCAGCATAGACAGCTGACTAATAAAGCTATGTGTGATTCAAAACAGACTTTGATTTGGCAATGAGGGTTTTGATCCTCTCCAGTTTCTTCTGCTTCTCCTTCTGTTCCTCGGGGCTCAGAGGAGTGTTATCCTCCACATCCAGGTAGCGCTCTGGGATCAGAACCTTGTCAGGAGCCATCAGCTACAATAAACATGACGCACATAAATAAAAATGGATCCACACACATATAGCTTACATGCACACAAATGAACTGATACACCAATGTAATATGCCTTTCAAAGCATCTAACAGTGATCCAGGAAGACTTTTTATTAGGATATTATATGACTTGTGTACAGGGGTCAAAGTAATGAAATTATGATGATGTAAAACTGTCTTCTTCTTTTTTTGTACTTTTCTTAAATTTTTTAAATTTACTTGGAACTTCTTAACACAAAGATGTGTCACATAAAAAAGTTCTAATAAGCTGTGCGAGAATGGAACAGAAGAAAAGGAGCCAAATGAGCAGCTGCAGCAGAGAGGAAGCTGCTGATGTGTCTGCAGCCCCAGAGGGGCAAAGCTCCAGGGAGCTCAGTGTCCAGAGAAGTGGCACTCTGCACTCAACTGATATTCAAGAGATACATGTTCTACCTGTTTATATTTACTGGCCACAGGGGGGTGTGGGGGGTACGTATGCACCGGGGCTGGGACTTGCAGTTTCTAAGAACACATGCACAATGCACAACTATGCAAAATTAACGATGACGTCATTATTGGTTATTAAATTAACAATGATGTCATTATTGGTTATGGTTAGCATTATTATACCTCACCATAGAAAAACCTACCCTAATAAATCACTGATTTAAAGTGCCACCCAGCAAGCAAGATAACTGATCCAAATCAAACATACCCTTAATGTTGCATGACCAACAGGTGAATGCTGGGTCTGGCTTAATGCTAAAATGCTCATGGTGGATCCTCTAGCGGTGATTTCTGTATTTGCTGAGGAACTTTTACCTTCATTGAGGGTCCGCTTATAGTAGGACAGAGAGACTGGGTGAACAGCTCATATTATTAACCTAGAGCAGACTGTGGCGGACTTCTGGACTTCTGCCTAGCAACACAGTGAGGCAGGTGTCACCAATGATATTAATTGAGGTTCCATTTAGTGTAGCTGTAGAAAAGTCTACTGTTTTCTGTTTACATTATTTTAATTGGCATTAAGTACATGTCCTTATAACATCCATGGTGTTTTGCCATGTGGCCGTTTTTAGTACTGCAGTTATACTAGTTGGCCACAAGAGGTCTCAGTTGACCACAGAATAGTTCATTCATATCAGCAACTGAGTTGCAGTGAATTATCAGTGACTGTAACATAGACTGTTTTCTTTCATGTAAAGAATGTTTCAGTTTAATTCAACAAGTCTATTTTATTTCATCATTAAAGAATAATATTATTAGGTTAATAATGTATGAAACTATGTATATCGAAGACCAATACTGTATTGTTTATGTCTTTTGTTTATTTTAGAATCGCACACACAACTATGCCCACACATCCATGAAGTGTATTTGCCCATCATTCAAGTTTATTTGGATTGAACTCTCCATGCCCTACTAACTCTTTGATTGGAGTCCCTGTCTTTAAAGTAGCTATCAAGCCAGCAGCCCAGAGTAACTAACTACACTGATCAGCCATAACATTATGACCAGTGACAGGTGAAGCGACAAGGTCATGGGGGCCAAGGCTCATTGATGCACATGGGGAGTGAAGGCTGGCCCATGTGGTCCAATCCAACAGATGAGCTACTGTAGTTTAAACTGCTAAAAAAGTTAAAGCTGGTTCTGATAGAAAAATGTCAGAGCACACAGTGCATCAGTTTGTTGCGTATGGGGCTACATAACATTATGACCACCAGCGTACCCAGGTGGTCATAATGTTATGGATGATCAACAGTTGCAATTTTATTATTTCATTTAGTCAAAGCTGCTCAAATATTTGCACACCATGTTACATGAAAATCTTTTTACATGACATGACATGTGCACAGAAAAATGGCTCAATAGCGCCACCTACAAATTTTCAAAAACGCAGCCCCGTCGTTTTGCAGAGATGTATGAAATTTGGCAGGCATATATATCATGTCAGGACGTACAAAAAATCCTCTTGGAGCCATATCCAAAACCCAACAGTCATTTTGGATTTAGCTGTAATTTTCGGCGTTGTATTTCAGCAACCTCCTCCATCGGATCGACTTCACATTTGGACACTGCAATCTAAAGGCATTCACAATTACAAGTCGTGCTGTTTGTGGCTGTTTGTTTGGTGTCCAATTTCGATGACTCACCATGAAAAAAGAAGCACAAATCGTGCGAAGGCCCTATTGTAATTGCAAGAATTATTGGGCCCGAGCACAAATCGTGTGAAGGCCCTATTGTAATTGTAGGAATTATTATTAGGCCTTTTTGGAGGCTTTATCATATTCAAAAAGTCAGTTGTGGAGGAACTTGGCAAATTTATGGGTCTCGGCCAAATGCGCAGAAAAAATCTCGACAGCGCCCCCTATTGAGCAGCGACACCTATGAGTATGAAAAGTGGTAGACGTGTAAATCACGTTCCGACATCCTCTCGGAGCCATATCCCAAACCAAACAGGAAGTCGGCCATTTTGGATTTATCTGCCATTTTTGGCGTTATTTTTTAAATACTCCTCCTAGGGAATTGATTGGATCGACTTCACATTTGGACACTGCAATATAAAGACATTCATGATTTAAAAGTTGTGCTGTTTGTGACTGTGCATCAAATGTGGCGCAGCGCCAAAATTTTACGTTTTTCCATGAAACAGGAAGTTGTCACGAGTTCAGTGTACATGGTCCAGTCTCAATGAAACTTCAACGCACCATACCGTCCTGAACACGTCTATGTGATAATATCCAGTAAAAGTGGTAGCACTACTTGCTGGTAACCAGAAATGTAATTTTTACTGAACTGTGTTGCCATAGTGACACAGTGAGCGTCACCTTGTTGTTTTAACATCTGATCAATTTTTGGGGGCTAAACATGCCCGAAAACTCATGAATCATAGAGAATTTATCAGATCTACTTCAAAATTGATCAGTACACTCAAATTAAATGCTGTGCTATTTGTGATTACGTTAAAGGGTGTGTCTGTGTCGTGCTGTCAAAGTCGGCAATTTTGACTTTTGTGGTGATTTTCGGCAATTTTTTTCACGTTGTATTTGAACAAACTCCTCATAGGGTATCAATTGGATCTACTTCAAAATTGATCAGTTAAAGGGCGTGTCTGTGGCATGCCGTCAAATTCGGCCATTTTGAATCGAATGTCAAACTGTATCAACTGTGTGCAATTTCAGGGCTACTATTTTAACAAACTCCTCCTAGGGAATTGATCAGAACAACTCCAAATTTGGTGAGCACATTCTAAACACCTCCAGAATTTAAAGTTGTGCTCCTCATAAATATTCATTGAACAATGTGTCCGTGGTGTGCCGTCAAATATGCATTGATACGCTTCTATGATGAGATCTGACAGAGAACCCAAGGACACACCACAAATGAGGTTGAATGAGATAAGATCGTTTTGTCTCTGATCTATGTTGAGGCTCCAGAATGCTACACAGGTTTTTTTTGTCTTGGTAACCTACCTATATTTAATAAGTGAAAACATTCCAAGTTAAAACTGAAAGCAGTGATTAACGGGCCTCGCACTCTGCGCTGGCATAACGTGTCGACATGAACACTTCACGTAAACCAGATCAAAATTGCCACACAGCGCTTACTTCCTGTTGCCAGTAGGTGGCACCATCACTATATCTGAATATTGTCATGTAGACGTGTTCAGGGCGGTACTCTCATCAAACGTGAAGTTTCATTGAGATTGGACCATGTACACTGACGTTATGAGGTCATGTTCAGGGTGGGACTGTTACAGAATATGTGAAGTTTAGTGGAGTACTATCTGTTTCATGGCGAAACGTAAAAAAAAAACACCACGGGCACGCCGTTTGAGATACAGTCACAAGTAATAATTCCAAATATTATTATTCCTCTTAAAAGGAAGTTTTTCCTTGCTGCTGTTGCCAAGTGCTTGCTCATGGTGGGAACTGTTGGGTCTCTGTAAATAATGTTATAACGAGTACGGTCTAGACCTGCTCTATATAAGTGTCCTGAGATAACTTTTGTTATGAATTGGCACCATACAAATAAAACTGAATTGAATTTAACTGAATTGAAATTGAATATGAATAAGGGTCCAGCCCATTACCCTGTTTCCAGACACCTGCCCTTTTGGACATGGACCCTGCTGTTTTGTTTGACTCAGACATTGTTTGCCAATGAGCAGAATGAGTGAAAGAGTTAATGAGGGAGTGATGCATCAGGTGACTGATCTCACCTCTTTGCTCATGTCCAGGTCAAAGTGTTCTGGTTCAACCTGTAACCGTCTCAGGCGTGCAATCTCTTCCCGAGGTGACTCCTGCCCCTGGCCCCGAACCGCTGCCTCCAAGTCTTTGATGTCAATCTCATGAGCTGTCAGTCGCCTACGGATCTGTCCACACACAGAAATACAAAAATCATCAAATCATCCACAAGCTAAAGGATGAATCACCTTTTCAAAAAACTTTTTGGCGGGGATTGCTTCTCTTATTATTTTATCATTTTAGACTTTTGAACTCCCTGTCCTTGTCACTGCTAACTCAGCTGTTGACCTATGGGCTGATATTTGTGTCAGTAGAAACTGAATCTGAATTGCCCAACTTGAATAATTGCATTAAAAACCTGAATTTGAATTGCATAATTTGAATTTGTATTGTTAAACTTGAATAACTGTATTGCAAAGCTGAATCTGAATAGCATAATTTGAATTTGAATTTATTAGTTTGAAACTGAATTTGAGCCTCACTAAAAATTCAACTTTTTATGTTCTTTCAAATTCAGATCTCGAAATTCAAATTCAGATCTCGAAATTCAGATTCAGCTCTCAAAATTCAAATTCAGATCTCGAAATTCAAATTCAGCTCTCGAAATTCAAATTTGGCTCTCTAAATTCAAATGCCGTAATCTCAACTCAATTTCAAACCACTAGATTACACTTTTAAGGTCACAGACGGGTCAAGGTGTTCAGTAAGAGCAATCGAGTGCAGATGCACAGAGCTCCTTTTTGGCTAAGCAGCACGTTTGCTTTGACCATTTCCTGGACCTGTAGACATTGGCTAGAGAAAAACATGCTTAAAGGATTATTCCCCTTTTCAGGTTCATAATTGTATTTTTTAATTTTTTTTTATTTGTTTATTTTGGTTTCGTGTGTGAACCACTTTGTATCGGACTGTTTTCACAACCTCGGTCAGTACAACACTGGACTGGCTGAAAGACTGTTCCTGAAAGAGGGATTGTACCAACTGTCTGTGGAGAGACGGCAGAGGAAGTAACTAAGTATTTTTAAGAATTTATGCTGTTTTTATTGTTGGTGTACCGCTAGCACATGCTAACAGTTGTTAGCTACAGGAGCCTCAGTGATGCTAACATAGTTATTGTTTGTTAAATGTTTGTTAAATGTTTGCAAGATAAACATGAAACTTATAAGGTGAGGTTCATTTATTAAGCCAGCTGGTGCAGATGTCTCCATATTCTCCACTGCTGATATTTTTTATAGAGATTCACACAAAGTTTATTATAAGTTTATGCCGAGAAGGACCAAGTGTGTGTCTGTGCTGCTGTATGTAAATGTACCGGAGGTAAAGATAGAGCTTCCGTGAGAGAGAAATAGTCAAACTGTGATCAAGCCTCCTTAGAACGTTAACAAAATACGGGGAGTAAGTTATGGTGATTATTATTTATTATTAGTAAGTTCATGATGCTTCTTGTGTAACTTTATACTGACGTGCTAACATTAGCTCAGCTAGCGTTAGCTTTGTTGTTCTTCTGCTTCGTTCAGGGGTGTGTGTGTGTTACTGCTATATTAATTATATATATATATATATATATATATATTAACCTCTATCTATCACATAATGTTAGTGTTTATGCCTTAACTGTGAGAACCAACACTGTGTTGTATGTGTCATGGCTCTGCTCCCCTCCTGCTCCCTTTGCTCCTCCTCCTTCCCTGTGTGTCTGATGAGGGTGCGGCCCCCATTCTCCTCACCTGCTGTCTGCTGTCTCACCTGCTCTCAATCATTCATCATGCCTCAGTCTTCAAGAACCCCGGTCTTCCTCCCATTCATCGCCAGATTGTTTCAGCCTATGTGGTGGTAACTCTCGTGGCTCCCTTCAGTATTTAGTTAAGCAATTCAAGCTCTCTTGTGATTTTCCCTGTGCCAGTCCCCCAGCTAACCATTTCTCTTCTGTGCCCCAGGGTCCCTTTGTGCAGTTTGGCTTCCTGTGTCTGCTCACCTGTGTCTCTGGTCTCTTTCGCCATTTCACCCGCCCATTCCTGCTGTGGCCGCCCCTCATCCCCCCTGTGTGTGTGTGTGTGCGTGGAATAAAACCCCTTCAAACCTTCCATGCTGTCTGGGTGTCTGCTCCTGGGTCCGGTCCTAACACCAGCCGTGACAGAACAATCTGGCCAATATGGACCCAGCGTACCCAGACTCTGTCCTAAACGCACTGGCCTACCAGGGACAACGAGTGGGCCAACACGAGAAGGTCCTCGACAAGATCGTGGCAGCCATCCAAGACCTTCGCTGCAGTGTGGCCGCCCTTGGTTTCAAGCTCGATCAGGTCTCCACCTCTCCCACAGCTCCCACCACCGCCACTGAAGCAGCTACTCCCTCTGCCTCTCCAGCCATGCAGCATGCGGCTCCCCCCGCCCCGGGAACCACACGTTCCTACACCTGAACGGTATGCTGGGGATTTGGGGTCTTGTGGGCGGTTTCTGCTTCAGTGCTCGCTAGTTTTCCAACAACAGCCGTTGACCTACAATTCAGATAGCGCCCGAGTGGCTTTTGTGATTAGCCTATTGTCAAGGAAAGCAGCTCAGTGGGCAACCGCCCTGTGGGAGAAGCACTCCCCTATTTGTGATACCTTCCAGCGATTTTCTGATGAACTAAGAAACGTTTTTGATCATCCAGTGCAAGGCAAGGAGGCAGCTAAGCATTTACTGAATCTTCGTCAGGGATCTGGTTCGGTAGCTGAGTACTCAGTCGAGTTTAGAGTTTTAGCGGCGGAGAGTGGTTGGGGTGAAGAGGCGTTACAGACTATTTTCGTGCATGGGCTGTCTGAGTTTATGAAAGACGAGTTAGCGGCTAGGGATAGCGCTGCTAGCCTTGACGAGCTAATCTCACTAGCAATTAGGCTTGACAATCGTCTTCGTGAGAGACGGCGTGAGAAGTGGGGGCGCCCACAAGCCTCTCCTTTCCATGCCCTACCCAGAGCCACCGCCTCGGTAGGTTCCCAGCTAGCAGCCCCATCCAAACGCCCCTCGAGCCAGGTACCCCCTGAGCCCGTAGAAGAGCCGATGCAATTGGGTCGCACCCACCTCACTCAGGCAGAACGCCAACGCCGGATGAGGTCCAGGTTAGGCATTTATTGTGGCCAGCGCGGTCACATCTTGGCTGCCTGCCCCCAGCTGCCAAAAAGATTAGGCTCACCGGAGAATGGTGGTACTCCTGTGGGCCAGGTCCCCACTTCCACCTCAGCCCCTCTTAGTCGCTTGCAATTAAAAGCTTCCCTTCGCTGGCAGTTAAATTCCCTAGATTAGTAGATTAGTTTACTGGTTATTTCATCACCCAACATCATTTTCATCATCCTGTTGTATTAGGTTACCCCTGGCTAAAACTTCACAATCCCCAATTCGACTGGTCAACTGGCTCACTCATTAGCTGGAGTGCTCACTGTCATTCGCATTGTCTCCAGTCCGCTAGTGTAACACCTCCCACTGTTCCCAAACCTCCCGAGCCCCCTGATCTACCTGCCGTCCCTGTAGAATACCACAACCTAGGGGAGGTTTTTAGTAAGCAGCGTGCCGTCTCATTACCTCCTCATAGGTCATATGATTGCGCTATAGAGCTGCTCCCTGGTTCCACTCTGCCGTCTAGTCGCCTGTATAACCTTTCCAGACCTGAGCGCGAAGCCATGGAGAAATATATAGGTGACTCACTAGCGGCAGGGCTTATTCGACCCTCTTCGTCTCTGGTAGGGGCAGATTTCTTTTTCGTAACTAAGACAGACCAGTCCCTCCGCCCTTGCATTGATTATCAAGGGCTTAATGACATCACCATTAAGAATAAGTACCCTCTCCCTCTCACTGATCCGGCATTTGAACCCCTTCAAAAGGCTAAAGTGTTCACGAAATTAGACCTCCGGAACGCATACCATCTTGTCAGGATCAGAGAGGGAGACGAGTGGAAGACTGCCTTTAACACCCCTTTAGGCCACTTCGAATATTTGGTGATGCTCTTTGGATTGACCAATGCGCCAGCTGTGTTCCAGGCCATGGTCAATGACGTGCTGAGAGACATGCTGAACAAGTTCCTGTTCGTCTATTTAGATGACATACTCATCTTTTCTCAGTCCCAGGAGGAACACGTTCAGCATGTCCGGCAGGTACTCCAGAGACTCCTTGAGAACAAGCTCTATGTGAAAGCCGAGAAATGCGAGTTCCATGTGACATCCGTGTCTTTTCTGGGGTTTATTATTGAGCGGGGGCAGGTTAAGGCTGACCCAGCCAAGATTCAGGCCGTGGCTGATTGGCCGAGACCCACCACTTGCAAACAGTTGCAGCGCTTCTTGGGGTTTGCTAACTTTTACCACCGCTTTATTAGAAATTATAGTAAGGTAGCAGCCCCCCTGACTAAGCTCACCTCGGTGAAAGCACCGTTCGCCTGGTCCCCTGAAGCAGAAACAGCTTTTCTAGCCCTGAAAGAGCTATTTAATTCTGCCCCGGTGCTGCGGCATCCTGACCCCTCCCTCCAGTTCGTGGTGGAGGTGGATGCCTCTGACACTGGCATTGGGGCAGTTCTCTCCCAGCGATCCCCCAAGGACCAGAAGTTGCACCCCTGTGCCTTCCTCTCCAGACGCTTGTCCCCAGCGGAGAGGAACTATGACATTGGGAACCGAGAGCTGCTGGCGGTGGTGGTAGCCCTTCAGGAGTGGAGGCATTGGTTGGAGGGCGCTGCTCTCCCGTTCATCGTGTGGACAGATCACAAGAACCTGGCATACCTCCGCTCAGCTAAAAGGCTCAACTCCCGTCAGGCTCGATGGGCTTTGTTCCTTGATCGTTTTGTTTTCACCCTCACCTACCGACCTGGGTCCCGCAATGCCAAGCCAGATGCCCTATCTCGCCAAGCCGACCCCGAGATGCCGGGGACTGAACCAGAGACCATCCTCCCGGCTTCTCGTGTGGTGGCTGCAGAGAACTGGCGGATAGAGGCTCTGGTGAAGCAAGCACAACGCTCACAACCTGACCCAGGTAACGGTCCCCCTAACTGGCTTTTTGTCCCAGACTCAACCAGGTCCCAGGTCCTCCAGTGGGCTCACTCTTCTAAGATCTCTTGCCATCCTGGTTACCAGCGAACACTGGATTTCCTACGGCGGAAGTTTTGGTGGCCATCCAAGGCGAGAGATACAAGAGTCTTTGTAGCCGCCTGTTCTGTCTGTGCCCACGGGAAATCCTCCCACCAGCCGCCAGCTGGACTATTACACCCCTTGCCTGTTCCAAGTCGCCCCTGGTCCCACATCGCCCTGGACTTTGTTACTGGACTGCCTACCTCTGAAGGTAATGACACCATTCTCACTATTGACCGTTTTTCTAAGTCTGTCCATTTCGTGCCTCTGCCCAAGCTCCCCTCATCCCTAGAGACTGCCAAACTCCTGGTCACCCATGTGTTCCGCCTACATGGAATCCCTCAAGACCTAGTTTCAGACCGTGGTCCACAATTCGCCTCCCAGGTTTGGCAAGCCTTCTGCCAGGCCTTGGGCGCTTCTGTCAGTCTCTCCTCAGGTTACCACCCACAATCCAATGGCCAGACAGAACAGGCTAACCAGCAATTGGAGGCTGCCTTGCGCTGTGTTGCCGCCCGACATCCGGTCTCCTGGTGCACATTTCTTCCGTCGATCGAACATGCACATAACTCCCTCACCTGCGCTGCCACAGGTATGTCCCCGTTCATGGCAGCTTATGGTTTTCAACCTCCATTGTTCCCATCTCAGGAAGGGAGGTGGCGGTCCCGTCAGTACAGGACCACCTGCGCCGCTGCCGGCGGATTTGGACTGAGGCTCGTGCAGCCCTGCTATGGACAGCGGCTAGAAACCAACACCTGGCGGACCGCCACCGACTCCCTGCCCTGGTTTACACTCCTGGTCAGAAGGTTAGGCTGTCTTCCCGAGACCTGCCTTCTCAGGGAGAGTCGCGAAAGCTGGCCCCACGATTTATTGGACCTTTTGAAGTGGACAGAATCATCAATCCTGTGGCGGTGAGGTTAAAACTCCCTCCATAATTACATGTGCATCCTGTGTTTCACGTATCTCTCCTGACGCCTGTCTCCTCCAGCCCTCTGTGCCCTCTGGCCGACCCTCCCTCCGCCCCCCCGGCTCATCGACGACAGCCCAGCCTACACAGTTTGCCAGATCCTGGACGTCCGACGGTTTCCAGTATCTGGTGGATTGGGAAGTGTACGGGCTGGAGGAGCGTTCTTGGGTCCCCCGGCACTTCATCCTGGACTCCTCCCTTCTTTCAGACTTCTACCGATCCCATCCTGACAAGCCCGGTAGGCCGCCAGGAGGCGTCCGTTGAGGGGAGGTACTGTCATGGCTCTGCTCCCCTCCTGCTCCCTTTGCTCCTCCTCCATCCATGTGTCTGATGAGGGTGCGGCCTCTATTCTCCTCACCTGCTGTCTGCTGTCTCACCTGCTCTCAATCATTCATCATGCCTCAGTCTTCAAGAACCCCGGTCTTCCTCCCATTCATCGCCAGATTGTTTCAGCCTATGTGGTGGTAACTCTCGTGGCTCCCTTCAGTATTTAGTTAAGCAATTCAAGCTCTCTTGTGATTTTCCCTGTGCCAGTCCCCCAGCTAACCATTTCTCTCCAGTGCCCCAGGGTCCCTTTGTGCAGTTTGGCTTCCTGTGTCTGCTCACCTGTGCCTCTGTGTCTCCGGTCTTTCACCATTTCACCCGCCCGTTCCTGCTGTGGTCGCCCCTCATCCCCCCTGTGTGTGTGTGTCTGTGCGTGGAATAAAACCCCTTCAAACCTTCCATACTGTCTGGGTGTCGGCTCCTGGGTCCGGTCCTAACACCAGCTGTGACAGTATGCTTGTCTTTACAGGTACAGCAGTGAGCAGTGACTTACAGTCTACACAGCCCAGTGAAGTTAAACATATTATATATTACATAATATTAACAACATTAGTCAAGAAATTGTTTCTAGTGAAGAAACAGCCAGTAAATGTACCAAAGTAATCAGAGTAATAGTATGATTACTGTAACCTCCCATCTGTTATAGTCTTCATACACATTAGTTTATTGAGACCATGGAAACTTACATAATGAGGCAGAAACCTGCCTGCAATACTTGATCCTGTACAACATGTCAACATAACTGAAGGAATTACTCATCTAATAAAGTAACTTGTACTGTACTGTATCCACATTTCATAGTCTGATATTTTAACTTGAAAGTATTATTACCAAAGTTAACCTTCAGATATGTGTAAAAGCTGCAATTATGTTTTACGTTTTATATCATATATGATGTCATTTATCTTCCAACAAAATAAAGTTTGAATGTGAGACAGTATTGTATTGTGTTGCTTACAGTCATTAATAGCAGTTTAAATTTCACATTTTCATATTGATAGATGTTACACGAACCAGGTTTTCAACTCTTGTACATCCAGGAAATCTTCATAACCTCTGTGAAATAACATGTTATGTTGTTATATAAAACCACACTTATTACTGAATTTAAAAATGACCAACTCTTCTTAAAAGTAAAACACTTTATTTATATTTCATTCATATTCCAGTTACATATGTTGTAAGTAACAAAGCTATAACTTTTATGTAAACTGTGCAGATCATGTTCTCCATCAAGGTTTATGGTTTCTAGTATATTGAAGTGTGAGCTGGTAATGGAGCTCTGCATTCAGTGTTCATCTTCATGAGTCTTCCTTTGGATACCCAGACTGTCCTGAGGCTGCAGCTGTCTCTGTCCTCTGATGGGTCCAGGAACACCTGAGCTTCATCAACTCACCTGTAAAACAAGGCAGATTCAGTGTTACTTGTAAGGCAGCATATAATATACAGTATAATATAATACAAGTACAACAGCTCATTGTGGCTCACAGTAGTCCTAAGTTATAAACTAAAATAATAAAGCAGTGTCTCTGGTGGTTCCCTTGTTGCTCTTGTGAGTTTGACTATTTCTCTTTCACAGTAGCTCTATCGTTAACTCCGGTGCACGTAGATCAAGTTAATTTACACACCGTAACACACACACACACACACACACACCTTATAAGTTTCATGTTCATCTTGCAAACATTTAACAAACATTTAACAGCTCCTGTAGCTAACAACTGTTAGCATGTGCTAGCGGTACGCCAACAATAAAAACAGCACAAATTCTTAAAAATACTTACAGTTACTTCCTCTGCCGTCTCTCCACAGACAGTTGGTACAATCCCTCTTTCAGGAACTTTCAGCCAGTCCAGTGTTGTACTGACCGAGGTTGTGAAAACAGTCCGACACAAAGTGGTTCACACACGAAACCAAAATAAAAATTAAAAAAAATTAAAAAAAATACAATTATGAACCTGAAAAGGGGAATAATCCTTTAAGCATGTTTTTCTCTAGCCAATGTCTACAGGTCCAGGAAATGGTCAAAACAAACGTGCTGCTTAGCCAAAAAGGAGCTCTGTGCATCTGCACTCGATTGCTCTTACTGAACACCTTGACCCGTCTGTGACCTTAAAAGTGTAATCTAGTGGTTTGAAATTGAGTTGAGATTATGACATTTGAATTTAGAGAGCTGAATCTGAATTTCGAGAGCTGAATTTTAATTTCGAGAGCTGAATTTGAATTTTGAGATCTGAATCTGAATTTCGAGATCTGAATTGAATTTTCGAGATCTGAATTTGAATTTCGAGATCTGAATTTGAAAGAACATAAAAAGTTGAATTTTTAGTGAGGCTCAAATTCAGTTTCAAACTAATAAGTTCAAATTGAAATTATGCTATTCAGATTCAGCTTTGCAATACAGTTATTCAAGTTTAACAATACAAATTCAAATTATGCAATTCAAATTCAGGTTTTTAATGCAATTATTCAAGTTGAGCAATTCAGATTCAGTTTGTACTGACACAAATATCAGCCCATAGTTGACCTACAGATGAAGCGAAACGCGCAAAAGACGCATGTCTCTATCTAGAGCCAGTGTTTGGTTTGTCCCTTCTGGGCTACTATATAAACATGGTGGTTCAACATGGCGATTCCATGGAAGGAAACCCATGGCATCTTGAGATGAAAATGACTCATTCCAAGTTAACAAAAACACAACAATTCTTATTTTCAGCTGATTATACAATACTGAAAACATAGTTACGCATATTATATTCTATTTCTGCCAATAGATCCTCCTAAATGTTACACATTAGACCTTTAAGCTACATCTGAGTCAAAAATGTTTGCAGTTGCAAGAATTATACTTTCCACTCATATCCTTATTAGAACTTATTCTAATTTTAAAACCCTTGTAAAGGGTAACTCAGGTATTTTTCAACCTGGACCTTATTTTTCCATGTTTTGTTGTGTCAGTGGTTAATGTTTTTTGCACTATAACCATGGATGTACAGAACAATCACCTGTATTACACGGATACTGAGTGCCTTTTTTTATGGACCCTGAATTCTGACACTAAAAATTAAGTTGCACTAATTTAATCATTATATATATACTGTTTTCTTTTTTTAAAAAAGATTACATGTCAACGGTTATTACTGTGGAAATTTGGATGCTGTTCACATCTGTTTGGGGTGAATTATTTGACTGTTAAGTAACGCTTTGCACTATCCCTCCACCAGCTAGTGCACTGACACACAGAACACCTGACTTACAGAAACAATAGCCTGGAGTTTAAGTGGGTCTCACTGAGACATATACTGTTTCTGATCAAAGTTTCCCAGTTAGAGAACTGGAGAGACAACTCATCTAAAAGTAGCTAGTACCCAGTATAAACACATAGGTTTCTTTTTCTTCTTTCTTTTCTCTACTGGCAATCAGTGTTGACATGTTTGACAAGGATCATCACATGGTGCTACTTGTTAATCAACTACTCTCCGTACCAGCCCCTCAGGAACAAATAAAGTGATTTCATACCACTTTGTAGTTGGCTGGAGACTGGCCACCTGAGAGGTTTAGACTACGTCTCTTCTCCCTCACAGAGCTGCTCTGATTGCGGCGAAGTCGCTCATTCTGCTCCTCCACGCTCATCTTCAACTTCACCTCTGCAGTAAACACAGCGCTCTTTGGACGTTCCTGTGACAAAGATATTCAATTCAATTCAATTCAATTTTATTTGTATAGCGCCAATTCCTAACAGAAGTTAGTACCCAACAGTACCACCATGAGCAAGCACTTAGTCGGGGGCAAGGAAAAACTGCCTTTTAAGAGGCAGAAACCTAGGACAGACCCTTCGGCTCTAGGTGGGTGGTCGTCTGCCTCGACCAGTTGGGGAGAGAGAGAGAGAGAGAGAGAGAGAGAGAGAGAGAGAGAGAGAGAGAGAGAGAGAGAGACCAGAGATATGGCATTGAAACACAGTTCAATGCAGGCAAGATTGCAGTCTTCTATTGGAACTTAGTGGTTCCCTTGACACAGTTGACCATACCATACTACTAGATAGACAAGTCCTATTTCAAGGACAGAGGCTATTTTGTCTCACTCTGCAACTATGCATCTGGGCAAACCAACATGACATGTGGAGTTCCACAAGGTAAATCCAAAGTTATAGCATATATAGCAATATAGGTGAATGACACACAGAGCCGCACTTTTCTGAGCCCAAGCAGATCCTTAAAACGATATCAAGCAAATAAAACCATTGAAATAAATAAAACCAGCAAAAGGACAAACAGTAAAAATCAAATCATTAAAAAAGTATGAAAGAAGTCATATTTAACAGAAAGGAAATGATTTAACATCTACTCACATCAAAAACAGCAATCATTTTGGCAGGACCTCCATGTCATTGTTTGACTTTATTATTATCTTTCATATTGGTATCTCAAATATCTGAATACCAACATCTCAACATGCCCTCAGCTACCTGAAGATGTGTTGTTATGTTATGCTTTTTATTAAAGTCTTAATTTGGTGGTAATCAGAATGTTGACTGTTTCTATCTTATATGTATCTAATTTGAAAATACTAGTATATTAACTCAAGCGATCAAGAGTTAATGCAATGCCAATTACCTGATAATGGTAACACAGGAAACACAATCTCAGACCATAAATGTGAGTATTGGGACAGAGTCACAGTTTGCTCTATCATAGGGTTCCTGTGTACACTTCAAAGTCCTTGGATGGTTAGATTTTCTTGTTTGAAGAATTGAAGCTACATGCTGTTGTTTAGATAGATATTTAGATATTATCTATATGTAATTTAGGTTGACATACCCTAGAGATACCATTAGGCACTCTGCCGTTATACCGGGAAACTCCAGCAGAGCTGCTGTGGGATTCATCAGTGGGAGACTTCGTTCTAGGAGGAACAATGCCAACTGGCAAGGGGCACAAGGTTAACTCAAAACCATTGGGAAGAGGAAGGAACAATATAAAACAAGAGAGTTAATTGCTGGATTATAATCATCAGTTAAAAAAGGATCAGAAATATTATCACATGGAAGCTTGAGCTTATGTTGTTCTACCTTTATTCATGGTGGATTGTCTGTCCTGGACCTGGTCCTGGACATCACTGATATTGTTCTCTTCTCCAAACCTTGGCTGCAAGACAAAGAACTAATATAATTTGTAATTTAATCAACATTTAACCTGAAGGTAGTATTAGATTAGACAATGCACTGTGGTGGACTGATCTTAAAACAACTGGTACACTTGTAATGGCAGAGGCAATACATTACTTATATCAGCATGTATGAAATTTCAGATCAAAATCTTCTGATTCAGTGAATCAGTAACCAGGAGATTTCCCTCACTGAACTTTTACAAAGACTTCAACTTTGGTAAACTTTCTGAGCATAAACTCCTCCACAAAAGAGATGCAACATGGTTTGTAGCATATCATGAGAGAGGAGTGGGTGGTAAAGATACATCCCCTTAACTGTGTTCAATCATTTCAATTGTTGTCCAGTTAAAGACTGAGGTCACTAAAGACTGAGGTCACTAAAAAGCTTCCAGCACCACTTGGGCGGCTGGCTCAGAGGCAGAGCGGGTCGTTCCTTAATCGGAGGTTGTGGGTTCGATCCCTGGCTCCTGGTGCCACATGTCGAAGTATCCTTGAGCAAGATACTGAACCCCAAATTGCTCCCGATGCCATGCATGAATATTAGTTTCTGTTCGATGGACTTTGCCGTCACTGTGTGAAAGGGTGAATGTGGCACGTAGTGTAAAAGCGCTTTGAGTGGTCGGAATACTAGAAAGGCGCTATACAAGTACAGGTCCATTTACCACTTCATGAGAAACATGAATGTCTTTCACTGTTCTGTCTCCTGGTGTGACCATGTACTAACTACCATGAGTACAACACTAGCAATACACAAATAGGTACAAAGAGAGTTTGACAGATGATCTGTGGCTGTTGAAAACTCAACACCAGGTACCAGGACATAGTGGATGCTGCTCATCCTTGGTAAGAGAGGGCTTTCATACCAAATCACCTGCAGCGCATTTTAAATTGAACTACTATTGTACTACTTCAAAAAAACATACAGCTGACATGGATTGTAGTGGCAGAGGCATTAAAAACAGCTGAGAGACAGCAGAAACAAGTGCTTTGGGAGCTAAAACAGGCTGAAATGGAGACACAGAGGGATAATCAGAGGCAATGAATGGATGAAGTGCTTGAACAAATAGAGGTTTGAAAGGATTTTGGAGGAAGGTGGCTTATGATGTTAAGAATTAAGTTTTTAACAGATGACATTGGATAATGGTTAAGGCTGGATGTAGAGAAGGCTGGATAGTGGCAGGAACATCGAAATACCTTTCTGATGTGAGAATCTTCACCATCAAGGTAACCATCATCAATGCCCAAGCTGCGAAGCCAGGCGGTGCTGTCAAAGGATGGGGGGGGTGGAAGGAGGGAAGGTAGAGGAGGGCTCCAAAGGGTAATAGGACTTGGGGAGGGGAGGCCTTGGGGGAACATTTTCCTAGATCACCGTAAGGGCAGGAGAAAGGGAGCAAGGAAGGAGAGAAAGGATAGGGGGAAGAGAGAGTGCTGCACATCAGGAGGAGTGATAATAAGCCAGGCAAAGTGCAGAGCAGAGAGGATCCATGGGAATGATTATGTGGAATAGGGTCTTGATCTCATGTTAAGGAGTTGGCCAATAAAATACCTGACCTGACAGCTTCTATGAATTTTTAAATCCACACAGTCCATAAAAGGCTCTGTAAAACAGCCACAACATTTCAATTCTCACTGTGTAATTAATTTTGTCACCTAGAATAGTGAGACTAATATAACATTTTAACAGCATTGCATTTCTAAGAAACTGATTAGGTCCAATTAGATCTTTGGATCTTTGAAAAATCTTTTGAGGCATTTTTGTAAACAACGAAGATGGTTGCTGCTGATAAAGACCTGTTTCTAATAAATCCGCAATCACTGGCTGGCATACTTCCTCTAAGATGTATGTCAGTTCCACCTTTCAATACTTTTTAAAACACCTTTTAAAGTCAACTCTGACAGAACAGTGTAATTGTTTTTAACTAGGTGCCCTTTAAGTTGTATGTCTGTATTAGCGTAAGTTAAAGTGTAATGTCTTGTTTGTGTTCTAGTACGTATAGTGTATGTACAGAGATTTGTGGTGTAGTATGTAACCTTTGTATATTTTTTGAAACTTTTTGCCACCAGTCTTGGCCAGGACTCCCTGGAAGAAGAGTTACTGTAACTCAATGGGACTTTTCCTGATTAAATAAAGGTTAAATAAATAAATAAAATTAAAAGAGAACAAACAACTGCAGCTTTTGTTGATAAGAAAGATGTGTTTGCTTTACTTCTAAATTTACCAACTATGTTATTCTGATTGGTTGTAGGTCCATCCAATCACGTCCAAAGGCATTTTAATAAACTAATTCACAAATATAAATTAGGATATGTCATTGCTGTTTCAAAGAGAACTTGTACTGCAGCACTTAATCCAAAACGTAACAATTCAACTGGTTTCATGCTCTGGTACCTCCTTAAAACAAACAAGTGACAATTGACAGGGTCTAAGGAGATTGCAAGCATTTTGATACTTATTTCTTATTCAGAGACATGCTTATCTATTGCCCAGAGATGGTGACTTATAGACTGCATGGCTGAGGAGACATGGTTCTCTATACTAGAAATGCTCCAAACAGATAGAATGTTGGCAACAAAATAAATTAAAAAAAACAAATCAATGTCTCTGCAGACTTATCATTTGAGTTACACAGGGTTTAAAATATATGATTTAGAATCTAGAATTTGGACCAACTTCCAGGTCAAATTTTAGGTAAGGTTCTGTCTGCAAACCAAACTTACAGCACCAATGGCTTTAGAAAATGGGACACAAATTATGTCAATACCTGGACCTGTATATATCCTGCTAGTATATTCATATATACAGTGGGAGCAATACATATTTGATCCCTTGCTGATTTTGTAGGTTTGCCCACTTAAAAATAATGGAACTGTGTATAATTTTAATCATAGGTACATTTTAACATTGAGAGACAGAATATCACAAAAAAATCCAGAATAACAACATCGTATAAATTTTATAAATTTGTTATCATATTTTTGCATGAAATAAATATTTGATCCCCTTCCAACCAGCAATAATTCTGGCTCCCACAGACCAGTTAGTTTTCCATTAAGAAGCACTCACTACCCAAAACACCTGTGTCAAACCGTTATAAAGACACCTGTCCACACAATCACATTCCAACGTTTCCACCATGGGCAAGACAAAGGGGCTGTCTAAGGACATTAGGGACAAAATTGTAGACCTGCACAAGGCTGGGATGGGCTACAAGAAAATAAGCAAGCAGCTTGGTGAGAAGTTAACAACTGTTGGAGCAATTATTAGAAAATGGAAGAAACACAAAGTCACCACCAATCTCCCTCGGTCTGGGGCTCCACGCAAGATCTCGCCTTGTGGAAGATCAATGATCATGAGAAAGGTCAGGGATCAGCCCAGTACTACACAGGAGGAGCTTGTTAATGACCTGAAGGCAATTGGTAAATGGTAAATGGACCTGTACTTGTATAGTGCCTTTCCAGTCTTCCGACCACTCAAAGCCCTTTTACAATACACACACACACATTCACTCAGTGATGGCAAAGCCCATCGAACAGAAACTAACTCATTTATACACATTCACACCGGGAGCAATTCGGGGGTTCAGTATCTTGCTCAAGGATACTTCGACATGTGGCACCAGGAGCCGGGGATCGAACCAACAACCTCTCGATTAGTGGAGATCCTGCTCTGCCTCTGAGCCACAGCCACCATAGTCACGAAGAGAACCATCAGTAACACACTACACCGTTAAGGATTAAAATCCTGCTGCGGGCACAAGGTTCCTCTGCTAAAGAAGGCACATGTACAGGCCCGTCTGAAGTTTGCCAAAGAACACCTGGATGATCCGGAGGAGGCTTGGGAGAAGGTGATGTGGTCAGATGAGACCAAAATAGAGCTATTTGGCATCAACTCAACTCACCGTGTTTGGAGGAAGAGAAATGCTGAGTACAACCCCAAGAACACCATCCCCACTGATAAGCATGGAGGTGGAAACCTTATGCTTTGGGGGTGTTTCTCAGCTAAGGGGACCGGACGACTTCACCCTATCGAGGGGAGGATGAATGGGGCGATGTACAGGGAAATTTTGGGCGACAACCTCCTTCCCTAAGTGAGAGCACTGATAATGGGTCGTGGATGGGTCTTCCAACATGACAATGACCCAAAACATACGGCCAAGGCAACAAAGGAGTGGCTCGAAAAGAAGCATATTAAGGTCCTGGAGTGGCCTAGCCAGTCTCCAGACCTAAATCCCATCGAAAATCTGTGGAGGGAGCTGAAGCTTTGAGTTGCCAGGCGACAGCCATGGAACCTTAAGGATTTGGAGAGGATCTGCAAAGAGGAGTGGACCAAAATCCCTCCCAAGATCTGTGCAAACCTGTTGAAAAACTACAACAAACGTCTGACCTCTGTGCTTGCCAACAAAGGTTTTAAGTTAAGTCCCATTGTTCTATGGATCAAATACTTATTTTATGCGGAAATATGATAATAAATATATAGAATTTGTACGATGTTATTCTGGGTTTTTTCGTGATATTCTGTCTCTTAATGTTAAAATGTACCTATGATTAAAATTGTACACAGTTCCATTCTTTGTAAGTGGGCAAACCTACAAAATCAGCAAGGGATCAAATAATCATTGCTCCCACTGTATATCTATAATGTTATTTTTTATTATATATCACTGTAAAGTGCACATTACTCTGCACTTTACTGCTTTTTGCACTTCTGGTTAGATGCTTAACTGCATTTCGTTGTCTTAGTACTTGTACTTTGTGCAATGACAATAAAGTTTAATCTAATCTAATCTAATCTAATTTCATCATGACCTTTAGCAATGACAATGTAAAATATTTATGATTTGGTGAAAAATATTGTCCCTGTATTAACAATTTTACATATCAGAACAGATGGAATTAGGAATTATCAGAATCAACGATGAAGTGATGGATACCCTTTTCTTTAAAGATGGGTCTGCATGAACACTTTACCTGACAGATAATTATGTGAATCAGATTGTGTTATGGCACAGATCACTGGAGCAATGCCCAGTCCCCTTTTGATTGAAGTGATGGATACCCTTTTCTTTAAAGATGGGTCTGCATGAACACTTTACCTGACAGATAATTATTTGAATCAGATTGTGTTATGGCACAGATCACTGGAGCAACGCCCAGTCCCCTTTGATTGCTGGGGTAAGTAAGTGGCCTAGCACTGTGTTTGGTTTCAGGACTAGCACTCTCAGAACAAGGGACTGAAAGTGTTTTAAGATCTTTACGGCAGCGTAATGATAAAACATCAGTCTGATTAGAGTTCTGGATCAGGATCTGGGATTCAGGCATAGAAAAGAGTCTGTTGGGGGACAGGCTTCTGAGGCTGTCATTGGAGAAGTAATATGGGTGGGAGTCTGGATAGACATCTTTTCTGGGGCCAATCTTGACTTCTTGGCTGCAAACATTTGAGGTTAACGAACTAACTTGCTGAAGGTCAGAGTGGGTTTGGACTGAATGCTGACTGGTATATTTTGAGTCATGGAATTGTACTTGAAGAAAACTAATTTGATCTCCTGATATGGCTTTGGCTGGATTTATAGGGTGGTCAAAGTTTGACTTGGTTCTGCAGTTGATATTTTGGTCTGTTTCCTCTATCACAGGATCTAATCTACCCAAGGACCCCCTTAGGTCTTGGAAAGCTAGGGAGAGCTGACGAAATGTGTGTTCATGGGTTTCAAAAGCTAAGTCACTTATATTTTCTGGATGCAGGCTAGTGTCAGGCTCTGTGTAACTTTTGGGTCTACACGTAGGCTTAAGGTCAGTTTTAAAATGAGGCACTATACCTGACTTGGGACGGGGTTTAGGGCTTGGTCTTTTACGCATTTCAGGGTTGGTTCTAGAATCTGAGCATGGGCCTGTGCCAGGTCTCGGATTGGGGTTAGTCCCCAGCTGGGTGTGTCCGGTGCTTACCTCCGGGCCCAGCTGTTTGGTGGGGGAGGCCTGGGAGCCAGGCACTGGGGAGAAGGGGCTGAGTGGGCTGGTGAGGCTTACTGAGCTCAGGGGACTGGCTGGACTATTGGTGCTAAAGGAGCCTGATGCACCGCTGGTCACTGTGCAAAAGAAAGACAGGGAGGTTAGGGTAGCAGGTCATTAAAATATAAATGATATAGACACAGATATTTCCACTAAAAATGCAATTATTTTCCAGCTTAAGTAGGTTACCTCTGTGCTTGGCTGTGTCAGTGCCTCTGGAGGAGTGATTCTTGTGCAGTCCCTCTAATACATCCTGTACTCTCCAAAACTCTTTCTGGATGTGCCTACGAACCAGTTCACTCTGCAAAAAGCCAGAAGAGACAAAGTAATATGAAAGAAGGAAGGTGAACTATAATTCATTCTAAGATATAAAAACTGCTGAATGTGAGGTCTATGGATTATCTACGATGATTATCCAGAGTACATTAGGTAGGAAACTTTGCTGTTGAACCTCCTAAATGCAAGTTTTCAGTTCTGTGAGTCATGCAGTGGGTCATCCATTAATCAGGAGGTTTGTCATTTAAACCGCGGCTCCTCCCACTGCATGTCGAAGTGTCCTTGAGCAAGAGACTGAACCCCAAATTGCTCCGGATGCTATTAATTGCTGTATGAATGTGTGTGAATTAATTAGTTTCCATTTCTAATGAGCAGTTGGCACCTTGCATGGTAGCCTCTGCCAACAGTGTATGAATGTGTGCAAATGGGTGAATGTGACATGTAGTGTAAAGTGCTTTGAGTGGTTGGAAGGCGCTATATAAGTGCAGTGGCACTGCAATGGCTGACGGTTGGCTTATAAGTTTGCTGGTGTATCACACTCAAAACCACATTTCAAACATATTTCCAAATATCCATTTGGATCCATTTCCAATACAAATTACAGCTGGGCTTTAAAGACAAGCAGGAATGATAACTTTTTACCTGCCCTCCTGCATTAAGCTGCTCCCATAGGTCTCCATGAATGGCACTGGCCTCATCCTCTAATGCTTCAAACTCCATACGAGTGGTGGTTAAAGCCTGAAAGAGGTACAAATAAAGGCAGAAAAGAAACAAATAAAGACAGGAGAATGTTTCAAACATCTGTGACTTACATACGGAAATCATGCCTTTGTAATGCCTTTCACTCTTAGAGTATAAATGAAAACAGGTAAAAGTTTTTCTCACAACCTGGCCCCTGTTTTTGTAAAAGTGTAAAAAAAATGTTGATTTGTTAGTTTGGGGGGGGGGGCTGACAAACAATGCTTATAATGGAAAACAGAAATATTTAATCTAATATTTTTTTAAAGATTTGAAACAAAAATGTAATAAGGGGGGTGCTATGTCATAGTCATACAATGGGAGTATGACTTAATATTGTTGATGTGTTCAGGGCGGGACTCTTATCAGACATGTGCATTATGGTGCAGATTGGACAAAGTACACTGAAGTTGTGACAACTTCCTTTTTCATGACGGAATGTCAAATCTTGGCGCCACGCCAGAGACACACCCTTCAACGCAAACTCGCAAATAGCACAACTTTTAATCGTGATGGTGTTTACATTTTACTAACCAAATTTATAGTCGATCCGACCAATTCCCTAGGAAGAGTTTGTTAAAGTAGAAATTGTGCAAATCGCCATGAATGACTGTGGAATGACCTTGGATCTTCAAGAGGATTTTTTTAACACCAGGACGTATTCTACATGTGTACCACTTTCATACTCATAGGTAAAACGTGCTATTGGGGCTGCTTAATAGGGGGTGCTGTTGAGCCATTTTTTCCACACATATGTTCGAGACCAATTAAATACATAACTGACATGAGTTTTGGGATATGATAGGGCCTCCAGAAAGGCAATTACATAATATGAATAATAATAATTCCTTAAATTATAATAGGGCCTTCGCACATTTAAAAAAAAATTATATTATCATTCTATTGCTATTGCATTAATTAAAAGTTAAATACAAATGTATGTATTTTTTATTTTTTTCAGACTTTAAAACATGTCCAGGCCCATTCTGTTTTTGCTGTACTACATGACTCATGAATACTGTCAATATATGGCAAATTTATAAAAACACTATATCTGTCCAAAATATTAAGACAGGTCATCTTTCCAAATTGCAACTATGTTATGTTTTTTTTTTTATCACAGATATCATCTGACTGTTTTTCATTGTCTTACACTGGAGGCCTGGGAAAGCTCTCCTCTAATGTTGATGAGCTGGTTCTGCAGGGTTTCCTTTTTGAACCGCAGCTTTTCCATGGCCAATGGCTGGTTATGGTACAGCTCCATCTCCTGATGAGTTTCCACTAGAGCATCCTCTAGGCTGTCCTAGGTACAAAAAAGGAAGAGTTTATTGGAAAAGCACATTCCTGCTAATTATGTCTTTATTCTAATAATATTTGATATTAGGACATATTAATAAAAAAAATCTGCCTGAACAAAATTAATCAAAACAGGATTCAGTGTTGAAAGTTTTTTGGTTTTGGTTGTTTTTTTGCATTTATTTAAGCATAAAAATAATGAGTGGGAGAATGTTATCATAACATACATCCTGTACTGAATGACCAGAGAAAAATAATCTATTTCAAACAGTAATGTGATCTACAGTCCAACTCGGAAACTGTTGTTGATGTCGTGTTAGATACGGGTTGATTCAATTCTGTGGGCATTAACAATGATGTATCAGTGGCGTTGAATTGGACTGTGAGAATCAAACTAACAGAAACAAGATCCATACAAGAGCACCACAAAGTGCAGCCTCAAAAAGACTGTAACTGAACCACTACACTAACTAATATTGCATTGATTTAAACTGTCCTATTTTTTTCTGGTCAAGTATCTTAACATATGGTAATATAAGCTTTAATAGTATAAAGAGTGACCTGATCTATATGAAAAGTGTCCTGAGATAACGTTTGATTTGGTGTTATATAAATAAAATTGAACTGACATTTGAATTGAGCTGTTGTAGTAAAGAGCATTAAATGCAGATAAATGTTTGTTTACAACAGAAAATATTTCTTAAACAAAGAGTATAATGCTGTGTAGGAAATGATGTACCTTGTCCATTCTCAGTCTGTGGACAACAGCCTCGTGGTCTTTCAAAATTCGGTTCTGCTCACACAGTCGACCTAAGAGTTTCTGTGTCAGACAGAACAAAATATATTTGATAGAAACCAAGAAAAAGAGTACAAGAACGTATCTCTGTGAGTACATGCTTACAGTATAGGGCCAAAAGTATACACCTATCAGCCATAATGACCTTGGTACCCTGGTGGTCATAATGTTATGCAGCCCCATATGCAACAAACTGTGATACACTGTGTGTTCTGACACACTTCTATCAGATCCAGCATAAACTTTTTCAGCTACATTAGCTCATCTGTTGGATTGGACAACACACGCCAGCCTTCGCTCCCCACGTAGATTAATGAGCCATCACCCCGTCTCTGGTTCACCCCTTTTCCTTCCTTGGACCACTATTGATAGGTACTGACCATGCTCTCACCCAGTGGTTGAGCCATCACAATTTGGCCCTTGTCAAAGTCGCTCAAATCCTTACGCTTGCTAATTTTTCCTGTTTCTAACACATCAACTTGCTGCCTAATATATCCCACCCACTGACAGGTGCCATTATAATGAGATAATCAGTGTTATTCACTTCTGGTCATAATGTTATGGTTGATCGGTGTATAAACACCAGAACATTGCGCCCATATGTGACAGCTGAATACATTGGGGCGGCTGTGGTTCAGAGGAAGAGCGGGTCGTCGACTAAGCGGAAGGTTGTTGGTTCGATTCCCGGCTCCTCCCGCCATGTATCAAAGTATCCTTGAGCAAGATACTGAACCCCAAATTGCTCCCGATGCTGTACAGCCACAAAAGTATTAGTGAGGTCCAACTCTGATGTTGTGGGAAAAGGCCTGGCTCATAGTGAGCACTCCAAAGGTGGGGTTGAGGTTGAGGTCAGGGCTTTGTGCAGGCTAGTCAAGTTCTTCCACACCTAACTGGGAAAACTATTCCTTATGAAGCTGGCTTTGTGCACTCTTGTTGTTGAAAAGAAGTTGGAGGGACACTATACTTATACTATACACTGTCTGAAATATATGGTAACCGCTTATGTATAAGCATTCTGATTAGGCCCTAGACCACAGATCTAAATATGTAGACAGGGTTGTTCACATACCTTTGGCCATGCAGTGTATTTGAAAAACATGATAATCTTCTGGGTGTAAGAGTGTGTTTTTCCTTTCCTTACACTGGTTTCAATTTCATTGAGCTTCAGTGTGGGATGTAATTCTCTGCTGTATACATCATGGAAAGGAAGCACCTGTGAAAACAAAGATTGAACAAATCAAACATCAACCAGACTCAATGAGAGGAAGAAAAAGTTTTATGTCAATGTCCCAATATTCTGTTCTTTATTCTGGGGAATATAAAGCCTAATTTACTCAGAAAGTCATCAAGATTTATTTTGCAAGAGAGGACATCTAAATTAAGAAACCAACAAATAAATGATTATTTTGCTGGCTGGGTTTTCATGCTTTCTGCAGTGGATGGCTGGTGATTAAGTTTCTACAAAAATACAGTAGGTAACATCTGCCAGCAGTTAAATGGGAAGAACTCTATGGAGCCATTCTTAAGCCTTATATAAACATAATGTTGGTATACTGATAATGCAACCCTGTATGTTTCCTCATCTCTAAACATCACAGAAGCTCTTTGGTTTATGTATCAGAATGAAATGAAATAAAGTCATGATAATGTCCCATTTTTAAAAAAACACAATAGAAACCGAAATACATGATTCAGGAGGCTAAGATAAAAGTTAAAGTGTTTTTACTTGACAAATGTACAAGGATATAACAAAAGGATTCAACAGACAACAGAATAGTAATACAGGCAAGGTCAGAAACAGAAAAAAACTAGCAAGCAAAGACAGGACGCTGTAAGAGAAGCAGCTCTGATCCAGTGTTGCTAGCTGAAGTCGGCCTCCCTGCGGTGCTCTCTCTTACTTGTACACAGAGCTTTGCTGTTGAGGATGATTGCTCCAATATTCGGGTAACCATGCCAATTAAGTGGCTTCCCTCAAGCACCTGAAAATTTAGCTCAGATTACAGAGACCTGACAATACGCTTATGTAACAGGATGCCTGGAACAATACTGGAACTTTTACTACTTTAAGGATAAGCTAATAATATTTTTTAAAGTAGGCAAGAAACTATGGAAGGAAAGGAGAAATAAAGGAAAGGGAATAAAGGAGAGAAGGAAGCTCACACGCAAACACGGTTAACATTGACTGGGAAACAGTGTATGAAATATGTAATGGCAAACAATACTGTGTTTGTGTGTGTGTGTCCTCTTACCTGATGGTCTAAGTAATCCAGATTGCGCTGCAGTTGAAGGTCTAATATGTCCTCCTGAGCCAAGCAACAGCAACAGTGATAGACATGGAAATCACACAAACATAGTGTACAGATAGACGGCTTTCAGAAAAGACTGCAGCAAAGCAAAGCACCACAACTAATCCGCCAATCACACTGGAGGCCTACAGCTTCTCTGCAATGATCAACTGAAACACTATATAGAGAATTAAATAATTGCTTATGTCTGGACATGTTTTTGACAAATAAAATAAAATAAAAGATCTCAAATTTCATCTCAAATCTCTATTGCGAGGTTGTTCCTTCAGAGGCATCAGTCTTAATGAGCCTTCCTCAGCAGACAGAGTTTGATCAGTTGTCATGGAAATCGTTTAGTTGTTATTTTCCTCTATATTTGACAGAAAAAGACAGGGTGATGGAAATGTCTTTGTTCAAATGGGGCCTCAGATGTGTCAGATGGAAATGTCCTCCTTGTTCTTTCTCTGGCTACTCATTGACTTCTGATCCATGACCTTTGACCTCTTCTCAGGATGCTGTGAGAGGTTTTGGTCTGGTGTTCATGTTCTGATGTTTTTTGTTTCCGCTTGTTTTGTTACTGCATTCAGTGTCTTGGAGCACAGAGCAGACTGTATTGGCAGGAAGTCAGGCACAGAAAGGGCATAGAGAATCCAGTCAATTTTCAAAATAAAATACCCCCTGCAGACACTTGATTGAAAATCATGCTTGTATCAACATTGTGGCACCAGGCCAAAGTCAATCAGCCAGAGGCCAGTCAGAGGAGTATTGAAGCGCAGAAACACGCCGTTTTGTATCATTTTTAAGGACAAAATTGTTCCGCTTCTGAAGCACTCTTGATAGGATCGGAAGATTCTACGGAGCCAAACCGTCTTGAAGCCGTGCCCGATTAGGAAGTGAGTTACTATATTTACTTGCCCAAAGTGGTATTTTACTTTTGGTATTGTTTTTGTTGAGACCTGGGTCAAGGTCACTTTCATGCTAAAACACAGCTGTTTACTCATGTAGCTCAGTGTAAAAGTACAGGGGTTAAAACAAGTTAATTTGTAATAAACATAAAAAGATGGAAATGATTCAGTAACGCAATTAAACTGAAAAAAATGTAGGTTACAAGTAGAGAAAACTGAGATAACTGAGAGATTAGCATAAATTAATAAATAATAAAGTAGAGTGTAAATAGTTGATTAAGTAGTTACAATAAACTGCTCTATAGTGGAGGAAAAGTGTGTGGTAAAATAATAATTGTATTTAATAATAATCTGTCTTTGGTTCATGCTGTTTCATTTGCTTGGTTACTGTAGGTATCATTCGTTGTCACCTGATGGTAATTCGCTGTAGGTAAGGAAGTTAACAGAAAAGGGGTGGGAAGATAAAAACAACAACAAGCAGGACGGGAGAAACGTTGAAAAAGAGAGAAAAGAGAGAAATACGGAGCTGAAGGAAAGTTAGGAGATAATGACAATATGGTAGATAGCTTGTGAATGTTTAAGTAACAGAAGAAGCTGTAGCTGAGGACAGTAACGAGCATTTCTTGCCTAAACACAGTGGATTAGGGCGTTTGAGTTCTTTAAGAGGGACTGCTAAAGCCAGCAAGCTGCTAGACCAGAGGCTTGTATTAAAAAATAAATTTCGCCTGTTAACATTTTTATGTCAATTCCCAGTTGTTTAGGACCCAACAATCAAAATGATCCATTGTTGCCTTTTTATCTCTGATCTGGTTTGTGTTCACACTGACTGATTACAAAAGAACCAAGAGGTTTAAACATGAGGACACCATTGCTGAACGGGAAGGACGTTTGCTTTCTTCTTTCATCTCTTCACAAACTGTTTGTCCAGTTTCTTATTTTTACGTGCATGTGAGAGTGTGCGTGTGGGCCCACTGTTGTGTTTAGAGTTTAGTTAAGTAGCATATTTGATTTGAGTCTGATAAGTATATGGAAATAGTGTTACATTTTGTTTGTTATTTAAAATATTAGTACGTTTGAATAGAGACAGTTTTGTTGTTTATTTATAAGGTATTAGGCTATAAAAGGTTTCACACAAAACGTGTAAAACTTAGTGGTAGCTACCTTTATAAATCAAACCCAAACACCCCGTCATTCAAGTCCAAGGTGATTTCCTTTAATTTAGGCATTTACAGAGTGTTGGTGTAATTATTTTGGTGCTACACTCACCAAAATAATTATATGTATTCTTGAGGTTTAAGAAATATCCTGAAAGCATGCCCTTCCACATAAAACCTACGAATGAAACAGGGACCTGCATATACGTACTATAACAGTAGTGGTCCACAAGGTATCTTCAAAGAGACCACATGTTCAATTTGCAAACATGCCTGCCCATGTATTTTTTTAATTGGTAAAATTGAACATACAACATTATATGCACTCCCGTCTTCTGTACAGTCTTCTTATATTTTCTTATCTTTCTTATCTTTATTTATTTATATTTTTAAAAAGTACTTTATTCTTGTGTGATTTTTGTGTGACTTGTATATTTTTGTGTGATTTATATATTTTTGTGTGACTGTATATTTTAAGCACCATTGCACCAAGACAAATTCCTCGTATGTGTAAAAACCTACCTGGCAATAAATCTGATTCTGATTCTAATTCTGATATGTGCTGTCACATTTCCACTATAATCAAGTGGCTTCTGGTCTCCCATGTTAGAACTTGTGGGACTGCACTTTATTGCATGACTATATTGGTAGACCCCATGTAGCTTAGGTCTCTCTGTCATTCATTTATATTAAATATTTGTCTAATGTATAAATTCACACACATACACTCATACACATATGCACACAAAATTGGTGCCAGTGGCATGTTAGGGACAGGAGATCAGAGAGGAAAGAAAAGGTCCAGAGAGAGATTTATGTATACAGAGTTAGGGCAGGTAGACAGATGTGTGGAAGAAATCCCACAGCTGGCTGCAGCTGCAAAACAAAGCTACACATACCACTGTTGTGCCACGACTACTGTAGGCTATACCACCACAGGACTGTGTGTGACCGTGTGTACCGGTATTATCCTTGTATTACAGTACATTACCACACATACCATTTTATTGTGGATGTAGGGGGATTCAGGGTAGTTGCAGTGGTATAATCCTTGGCTTAAGGACCTCCTATCACCAGGGTAGTCATACTGAAGGAAGGAAGGAAGGAAGGAAGGAAGGAAGGAAGGAAGGAAGGAAGGAAGGAAGGAAGAAAAATGAGGGAAAGAATTAATGAAAGTTTTTAGGGTGGAGTACAGTACAATGAATTATGGTTAAGTCATATGAAAACCAAATATTCATCTCTTATTCTTTCATTCATTCGATAAAGGTAATTTACAGTCTTTATATTCTGGAAATAGAGTGGGAATTCTAAAAACCTGTTAATATAAATTTTAAAAATTCTGACTTTTTATTGTATTCGCTTACCTAAATCAAAAACTACATTCAGTAGAATTATGAGGAAAAACATGGGATAAAAGCTTGCCCCCATTAAATTAACATGTCTGATTTCCCAAAGTAACTGTCATAGTAACTGAGTTGTGGCCCGGAAAAAAAATGTCAAGATGAGGTTGCGGTCACCTTTTATCCACTATATAATACTACAAACAAACACACACCCACACACACACACACACACCCACACACACACACACACACACACACACACACAAAAAAACTCGTTGTTTCACCTTCGGTGAACTGAGGGATCTCCTCAGGCTGTAGACAGATGGATCAGCATATATCACGTCATCCCTCATCCTCCCTGTAAACCGGTCAAAGCGGGCAGATGGTGATCGAGCCGGCGAGGCAAAGTTGTGTGGCACTGGTGAGTAGGGCCCCCCCGATGACGAGGATGGTGACCTAGGCACAGACCTGGAGCGTGGCTGGATGGACAGACGCCTCATGGATGTTTCCATTCCCCCATAATACTGTTGCCCCCATTGGTCCCTGGGCACTGGGGGTCCATACATCTGATGTCCGTCCCTTAGTGAGTGGCGCTTATCCTCAATAGTCCATCGTCGGTCGTATCCACCGAAAGCAGAGACAGAGCATATGCTGTCAGGTCGGACCCCTGATGTGTACAGAGGGTACTCCTCCACATACTGGGGGCCACCAGGGTAGCCATAGTAGTCAGCAGAGACCCCACGGCTCACTTGGTAGTAATGAGATGGGCTGTAAGGACAGGAAAAGATGGAGATGGAAGTCTCTTAATTTTGTTAATTTTGTTTTGATAAGACTTTTTTCTTCTTAAAATCTAAAATAAATATCACCTTTGTTTATTATGCACATGGATATTAATTTTTAAAAAGGTAAATTACGGCCATGAGCTGTCCTGTACTGGTCATGGTTATGATGAATGACTATTTGAAATAGCAAATATTTAAGGTGTGCTATAGTTTCATGACATGAGTACATTTGGTGCGCAGACACAACATCCAGTTTGAGATGTTTATGCAAGCAGCTTATAAATCCAGTAGCACCAGCTGGACCAATCCTGTAACCTTGCGAGGCAGCTAGGCTGCAGATCATGAAATCACAAAATCATCTAGGCTTCCATTTATGCATTTGTCTGAGGAAGTACTGGTAGCTACGGAGAGAGCGTTCATGCAGTGAGAAGATGTCCTGCCATGTGTCGAAGTATCCTTGAGCAAGATACTAAACCCCAAATTGCTCCCGATGCTGTGCATTGGTGTGTGAATGTATATGAATGTGTTAGTTTCTGTTCGATGGACTTTACCATCGCTGTGTGAATGTGTGTGAAAGGGTGAATGTGGCATGTAGTGTAAAAGCACTTTGAGTGGTCAGAAGACTAGAAAGGCACTATACAAGTACAGGTCCATTTACCATTTACCATTTACCAACAATACAGAAGTAGACCTGTAGAGAGATACAGGTGCTATATTTCTCCTCCTCTCCACTGATTTACCTGTTGATATCCTCTTGGGATGCCATGCCCCGCCGCTGGTTGACCCACTGCTGCAGCTGGGCCATTGAGCTCTTCCTCTGGGCCACCCTCTCTGGAGCTGTCCTGGGCACAAAACCCCTCCTCAGCACCACATTCTCCTGCTGCTCCTGGGGGACATGCGACGGGCCCCCACTCTCCTCCTGGTGTTCCTGAGGGGTGCGATGCCCACTGTGACTCCTGGATGGAGGGGGTTTGCTATTGTGTAGCATTTTGCGAGGGCCATAGTTGCTGCAACCATTTGGATGGTAATCTGAGTGAGGGGTGTAGTCTGGACCAGATCCTCCCCTTTCATCATCACCTTCTCTTCCACCTCCATGCCTTCCTTCATTCTTTTTCCCCTCCTGATTTGAGAGGGGTGTGGAGGGTGGGGGTGTCTCAAAGCCGTCAACACCATTTATCTTAGGGTAGGGGGGCTGGTCACTGTCAGTTTCATTGTGTGTTTGTGTGTGTGGATGCTCTTGTGCTTGTGGGTCGGGTGCCTTGGTCACCATAGTATGGTTGAGATCAGCTTTCGTGTCCGAGTTATTTCTGTGAAATTTGAAGGAAAAGAAAGCATGAGAACAGAAAGGAAGGTTTGTATTAAAAAATAAATTTCGCCTGTCATTTATTATTTAATTCCCAGTTGTTTAGGACCTAACAATCAAAATGATCCATTGTTGCCTTCTTATCTCTGATCTGGTTTGTCGTCGCACTGACTGATTACCAAAGAACTAAGAGGTTTAAACATGAGGATGCCATTGCTGAACGGGAAGGACTGTTTCGCGCTTCCTGAGGAGGACTTTGCTTCTGCTGCCACTTGCTTTCTTCTTTCATCTCTTCACAAACTGTTGTCCAGTGTCTTATTTTTATGTGCATGTGAGAGTGTGTGTGTGGGCCCACTGTTGTGTTTAGAGTTGAGTTAAGTAGCATATTTAATTTGAGTCTGATAAGTATAGGGAAATAGTGTTACATTTTGTATAGTATTTGGTATTGCCTAATTTTTTACAGTGATCTGCTAATTTTGGTAAAGGTAATTCTGTTTAAAATTGAGTATTTCAACTATAATATGAGTATTTCAACTATAATATTATATTTTAAAGGAGTCTTATTTGTGTAATTGTGTTATTTCCTTTTTTCCCTTATAACTAACAAAGTAAATATTATTTGTGTTACACTGCATAAAACTGGTCAGTAAAATATTATTTGTCTTGGGTCAGTTATTTAAAATATTGGTATGTTTGAATAGAGCCACTGCGAAGTCACTGGACAGTTTTGGTAACAGTCTTCCTTCATCATCAGCACACAGAGAGGCAAATCAACTTCCACTGACTGACTGTCGCTGTATGAATCTTGTGCAGTGCTTGAATTGGGACAGTACTAGAATAGTGTCAGAATGCATACTGTTTTTCTGTTTTGTTTTTCTGAGAACATATGTAAAGGTAGTGTGCATCCAGTTTGGCTCTGTGCATGTGTGTGAACATCACCTTTGTCTTAGCTGAATGTTGACCTCTGAAGCCTCGCTCATGGCTCTGATCCACTCTTCCTGCTCCTCATGGCTGTCTGTGCTAAAGTAGTATGTCCTGGTCCCAGCGTGCTCCGCCTGCATGCAAAACACAACAGGAGCTTTCAACTCCCCGTCCTCACCCTCCTCCTCCTCCTTATCCAACCGCACCTGCAGATGGAGATGGAGACAAAAGACAGAGGCAGCACATAAGTACCACAGTCAGTGTTATAATCGTGGACTTAAAATCTCCATAATCTTCATCAGCAGTAACTTCATCTACTCATGCAGTTAAGAGGCATGGTGTTATGGAACTCCAAGTACAAGGTAATTACAGTTTATTACAACTTTTATTTTTTGATTTTTGATTTGATTTATTTTTGCATTAGACATGTTGGAAAGAAGTCAACAGTTTATCCAGATTTTCTAAATCACTTTACTGGTCAAACTTAAAGTGTACAGATTTTTTCACATTTGTGATATTGCTTCCTTTCTCTCTCCCAAATAAGTTTGTCTAACCAAGAGGTTTATTTCCAGCTTGTCTGATTGCACACACTTCTTGTCCTAGCTTCTTTTTACTGTGTTGCAAACTGTGTTTCCTGATCTCGACAATTAATGGACATAAAAAAAATAAGACCCAAATTGTGATGGACCTGAATTATCCTTTAATGATATCCATGCACATTCCTTTGATTGGCTGTGTTACACTCACTGATCCTGCTTTACTTTCAAACAAAAACTCTTTCCTTAAATTTCCTCCCACCTCACTTCTTATGTTTTTTATTTTTAACAATTTGTGACATCGGATGCAATTACAAAATCACAGGACGTACATTTGAACAGTAGAGCTGACATGGACTTAATAACTCAACAACCCAAAAAGAAAAGAAAAAAAGAAAGAAAAGACAAGACTGCTATGCATGAATCCTTAGGTATCCAACTGACATGCAGGAATGCAGCACAAAAGACATAAAGACATAATCATGCATCCTTTGCAGACAGGACAGTTAATAAAAAGAAGGGTGGTAAAATATCAACACTGTACCTACTGTACTTTCTACCACAACAGGAGACAGCGAGGGCCAGCAGACCTCACAGGGGTGGACGGAGGTGGGAGGAAGAACAGACAGTGACAAGGGAAAGGGTTAAGGGTTGTGGTGTCAAAGCCAGTGCTGATGTTAGGCTGTGAATATGTATTCTTTGAGGCTGTGGCAGACTATAGTTGGAAAAGGAAAGATGTTGAGAACATCTGGAACCTCTGAAATTCTTACATTACAAACACAATTCATACAACCTATATGAAGAGGCTACTGAAGTCTTAAAAAACAGGCTAAAACAGTTCAGTTTTAGTGTTTATGGCATTTAAAACATCAAGAACCTTGATAATCTTCTAAAAGTACTCACTGTGAAGGGACACACAGCTTTAAAAAAAACAGATCAGTCTGTGTCAACACCTCCACATGAACAACTGACAGTTGACAAAAATTAGCTAACATCTTCCTATGGATACTAGTTGTACATAAGTCACTAATGAAGGCAAGCCCTTGTATGGGTAGACAATCATGTCTAGAACCATATTAATGTGACCCTGAACATACTGTCCTTATTCCTCAAAATAAAATGAAATAAAACACACAAATAATAATAATAATCATGGTTGAAAAAAAAACAGGAATGTACCACAAGAGGGCAGCACAAGCAAAGAGGTTGGACAAGATACCGTTCACTGAGCATTTAGCACTATAATCCTTAGTTCTGGCTTTTTCTCTAACTGATTCACCAATCACCAAGTGACGAAAAGCTCCTACAAAAGACATTGGAATCAAAATACAAAGTTCAAAAGTAAAGATCTAGAATAATGACTGCACTTGAGCTTCAGACAGAACATGTTTCATGAAAGACAATCAATAGATTGTGTATGAAAAACCTAATTCTGCAAGACTGCAAGAAAAAGTACAGAGTGAAAATACTGAGGTACTGGTACCTCAAAATAGTATTTGAGTACTGGAGTACAGTTAATATACATAACGACCAATTTGACCTAAATTGTACATGTGTTTCAAAGTGTCCTGGTGACCTGATATCCAATATGGAGCATTAATGTTTCAACTCTTTCAGACAGGTTGTAGTCCTAAAACCATGAGTTCATCCAAAAAATTTCCTTGCAGAAGCATAGTTTATGCAGATAATAATTTATATTTTTAAAATGTATGCGGTAAATTGCTACAAAGCTTATTGCCATATTGTTCATATTTGTTCCTATTTCAAAAACCCAATGCAGATGATCCATGGTGATCTACACAAACACATCTTATTCTGATTCATTTGATTCTGAATGGACCCTGTTCTGCTCCTACTTTTACCAGCTCCTTCCCAAAAACACTCTCCTGATATAGAGGATGTAGATATATATTCTATCAGAACACGATAGTGAAGATTGTATAATAATATTAATGATATATTATTATCAAATAAAATAATGAGAAATTGGCCTGTGTGTGTGTCTGTGTGTCAGTGGTGAAGTGAAGGTGTATATTCGACCTTCTTCCTGCTGAGTACAGTAGTAGTGAATGCAGACACTGTGTGTGTGTGTGTGTGTGTGTGTGTGTGTGTGTGTGGTGTGGTGGTGTGTGTGTGTGTGTGTGTGTGTGTGTGTGTGTGTGTGTGTGTGTGTGTGTGTGTCGGAAATGATGTCACTGACAACAGGAGTCATTTCCTTCCACGGTGGAGCACTGTGAGGCTCCTCCTTCATCAGTGACACAAGGTAATGCAATTGGCTGAAATGGCTGTATAGTAAGAGGAAGCAGTAACCTAGCAACAGAGGCGGGGCTGTGGGAAGAGGGAGTGTATGTGTGTGTGTGTGTGCAGCCTCCCTCCTTTGTTGTCCTTCCTTTGTTCATTCATCCAACTAGTCAAAGAGAAGGATGGATGAAGGAGAAAGGAAAGGTGATATTAACATTATCTCTCACGCTTCAAAAATAAAATTATTATGATCATATATTATTATTTTATAACTCAGGAACAAACTGAAAATCAAAGAAAACCACGCTATTGAGAACAAAGCAGAAAGGAGGAATAAAGGAAAAGTAAAATAAATAGATGATAAGATAAGAAATATATTGTTTAGTTGAACTGAATTAAAAGTGAATAGGGGGGACACAATAGATAAATGGAGGAAGAAGGGAGGGAAAGGAAGGAGGAAAGAAAAATGTTGAGATGAGGGAAAGACTGAAAAAAAAATTAACTACTACTTCTCTTGTTAGATCTTAGTGCTACATTTGACACGATTGACCATCATATCATATTAGAGAGACTTGAGCATTGGCATTAAAAGAACCGCACTAAGCTAAGTCTTACTGATCAAGTCGATCTCAGTTTGTACATGTTCCACAAGGTTCTGTGCTTGGATCAATTCTATTCACTTTATACATGCTTCCTTTAGGCAGCATAATTAGGAATCCCTCCACTTCCTTTAATTGTTATGCAGATGATACCCAGTTATATCCATCAATCAAGCCTGATTAAATTAATCAATTAGCTAAAGTACAAGCATGCATTAAGGCCAAAAAAACCTGGATGATCTGCAATTCTCTGATGTTAAATTTAGATAAAAATTGAAGTTCTTGTAATTAGCCCCAAACACCTCTGAAACTGATTATCTAAAGATATTGTTACTGTAGATGGTTTTACCCTGGCCTCTAGCACCATCAGGAATCTTGGAGTTATCTTTGATCAGGATATGTAATTTAACTCCCACATAAAGCAAACCTCTAGGACTGCCCTTTTTCACTTACGTAACATTGCAAAAATCTGACAAATCCTGTCCCAGAAAGATGCAGAAAAACTAGTCTGTGCATTTGTTACTTCTAGGCTGGATTACTGCAACTCCTTATGCCCCTATAAGTCCATTGAGACGCAAGAATTGACTCAGAATGCCGCAGCACGAGTACTGACAGGAACTAGAAAAGAGATCATATCTGTCCTGTACTAGCTTCTCTGCACTCACTCCCTGTAAAATTTTGAATATAATTCAAAATCCTCCTCCTCACCTACAAAGCTCTTTATGGTCAAGCACCTTCATATCTTGAAGAGCTCATGGTACCCCACTAGAACACTGCACTCTCTGAATGCAGGGTTACTTGTGGTTCCTATAGTCTCCAAAGGTGCCAGAGCCTTCAGCTACCAAGCTCATCTCCTGTGGAACCAGCTTCCAGTTTGGTTTCTGGAGGCAGACACACTTTCCACATTGAAGAGTAGGCTTAAGACGTGGGATTTTCCATGATGCACTGAGCTCCTCTCTTCCTCTCCCTCTTTACCTGTACATATTCATGTCGTCATCGTAATCGTCATTAGTCATTTCTACTGGTATAGTTGTTGCTGTGCACTTTTGTCTCTGTCTCTGTTCTTCTCTCTTTACTGCAAAGCTGCTGCTGCCAGCTCTACCTTTCTATACTGAGTTTGTCTAAGACATATTTTAAAGATGTAATTAAGAATGTAATCAAATAAAAAAAAAAATTCATTTACCAGGGACAATGCACATTAATTAACATTGCAGTGTACTCATCAATGTAAATGTTAGCAAATAAGCACATTTTCATCCGTAGTCCTTGGGCAGGTTATAACAAATTAGTGCCTAATGTCATCAAAACAATGCCTCAATAAGTACTACAAAACTGGGGCACCCAGATAGCTCACCTAGTAGACCTGGTGACCCATGGACCAAGGCTGAGCTGCAGCGGCCATGGGTTCAAATCTGATGATATGAGGAAAACACACAGTTTTGTTTGCATGCAGGTGTAAACATGAATTGCTTAACCAGTCAGATACACCCAGAATGTGGGTGCAGTTAATTTGTTTATGGCTTGTTGTTTGCTTTTACCATGTACACAAGAAGTGAGTCAACAGCATACATTTACATGTTGACAGATGGAAAGACTTAAGACAAGTCAATAATATACAAGCTAGTTTTGACAGGAATACCTCATCGCAGTGTTGCTTCTTTACCTAATTACCTAATAAACACCTATTTCACCAGCTTCATCTAATTTAACTTTACACTTTAGAAAGTAGTAGTTGGCTTTGTCTGTTTTTGTTTTATGATTGGAGTGAAATCCAACTTGCATTCGGTGCAGAGGGGTGTGGTCTGTGTTCAAATGACCACTCAGCTGCTT